CTCGATCCCAGGACCCTGAGATCATGACCTGAGCTGAAGGCAGACGCTTAACCATCTGAGCCACCCAGGCGCCCCCCAGGACATTTTTTTTAAAGATTTTATTTATTTATTTGAGAGAGAGCAAGAAAGAGAGCATGAATGGGGGGAGGGGTAAGGGGAGAAAGAGATGCAGACTCCCCGCCAAGCAGGGAGCCCAACGCGGGCCCAATCCCAGGACCCTGAGATCATGACCCAAGCCGAAGGCAGACACTTAACTGACTGAGCCGCCCAGGCGCCCTGAATCAGGACATTTTAATTTTTCATGCCCTTTTGTCACACCCTAGAGACAGTGCTCACTCTTCAAAAGCAACTAAACCACAGAATAATTTATACCCAGTCCCAGCTGAAGTGTCCTCTCCTCTTCCTCACCGCCACCTGCCCAGCCAGACACCAGACAGGTGTCCTTGCCTCCTGCTCACTTTCAAATGGTGTTCTCTCTTCCCTGCATCTGAATCACCTAGTGGATACCTTTGGTATAACATTTAGCACACTAATAAAGCTGTTTGCTTTTCTGTCTCTGCCAAGCACCTTGAAGGCTAGCTCTAATATCTAGATAGAAGTCTACGAAGGAAACAATAGGTCCAAAGCTGTTTTTATTATTCCAATAAATCCAATAGTACTTTAGCACTTATTCTTTACATTTAATTTTCACGGACTGGTTCAAAGAACAGGGTTAGCTGCTTTTGTGTGGTGACTGTGATACCTCCTTGCAATTAGATACTCTAATGGGCAGATTCATATTTGCCTTGACAAATAAAAATGGGAAATGATTTAATCACTAGCTACATCCTGGTCAACCCTTTGTAACTTGAAAATATCATAGATCCAAATGTATTTAGTACATTAGCTTTGCCCAGCCTACCTTAAACATGCTCGGAACACTTAGAGTAGCCTACAGTTGGGCAAAATCATCTAACAGAAAGCCTATTTTACAGTAAAGGGTTGAATATCTCATAGAATTTGTTGAATACTGTACTGAAAGTGAAAAACAGAAAGATCGGATGGGTACAGAATGGTTGTCAGGGTATTGGTTGTTTGCCTTCGTGACGGCGTGGATGACGGGAAGCTGTGACTCACTGCTCCCGTCTATCATCACAAGAGAGGATCATACCGAGGATCGCTAGGCCAGGAAAAGATCAAAACTTCAAAATTTGAAATACAGTTTCTACTGAATGTGTATCACTTGGGCGCCATCATAAAGTTGAAAAATCATAAGTTGAACCATCCTAAGTCAGGGACTTAGATAAATCTCCAAAAACATTAGGTCCGTGGTGGGGAAACAGTCCTTAGTACAAAGACCCAAACTCTGAACAGACTTTCTCAGCCCTCAGGATATGTGCTTTTGCCTCCATAAATGGGCTCAGGATTGTTCAGACGTAGGGCACAGGGATGGGATAGGCTGTGGCTCACATTCCAGAGAGACTTATCAGCAACGGTGTGCTTGTATTAGTTTCCACCAGTGAGGGCAGAATTGAGGTCATAGTCATGGCCAGTGTCAGAAAATTTCTGAGTCGGGGCCACTGATGATGGTAATCACATGGCATGAGCCATGATAACTGATCATATGCATATGTTTGTTTGGGTTATTCCTGCTTTATTTACTTCTTTAGGGACTTCTGGCATTCCAACCCCTGTGACTCATTTTCTATACTGCCCAACAAAGCATTTCTTTGCCAGTAATGGCAAGAAGCCATTTTTCTAAAGCAAAAATTAAAGAGCAGAGTTTTATTTAACTCCTTGTGCCTCCTTTGGTGATAGGGAAGTACTAACATTATCTTCTTTTTAAAGGTTAGAATGAAAAGGAGGGTTGCCCAGCAAAACAGTGGTAGCTCGAGAGAAGAGCTACCATTTCTAGTTCACTGCTCTACTTCTAGGTAATACCTATATTTTAAAGTATTTTATGGAGATAGACTATCCTCCATCTTCTATACAGTATCAAAAGCACTTTCATTCTATTTATGGGGGAGAAAATAGCGCTCACACTTCTTGAGTGCGAAGGGAGGTGGATGATCAAATTAGGTTAGAATCTTACTGCTATGGGTGCTCCCAGTCCAGCAGCAGCTGCCCTGGCCGGCTTTCAAGGCTGCAGCAGCCCTGGCTCCAGCTGCTTCAGCAGTAATTTGAAGAGTGCAAGGGGGCAGGGGAAGTGAGAATTTGAAGAGCACCTCATTACATAACAGCAGAAGCAGGAAAACCCTAAATAACTGGGCCAGTGGCTGGATCCAGATTTCTAAAACTTACATGGGCCCCCCTTCCCAGCCCAACAATTCCAGAAACTTTTCTGGCTCAACTGTTGCTCTGGGCACCTGTGCCCACCAAGGGGTAAAAAGGTCCTCCGTCAAACAGTTCTTTATCCATAAAGAACTCCTTTGATCCAACTCCAGCCTAAAGCACCATACACATTCACTTGCAGCCGCTCTCTCCCAAGGTGCACAAACATCAACTGGATTAAAAAAGGAATAAAACGGGGTACCTGGGGGGCTCAGTCAGTTAGGCATCTGCTTTCGGCTCAGGTCATGATCCCAGGGTCCTGGGATCAAGTCCCGCATCGGGCTCCCTGCTCTGCGGGGAGCCTACTTCTCCCTCTCCCTCTGCTGCTCCCCATGCTTGCGCTCGCTCTCTCTCTGTCAAGTAAATAAATAAAATCTTAAAAAAAAAAAAGAATAAAATGACAGTATGAATCTTAAAGCTGACATCTTTTAACCAATAAGGGAGCTGTCCTTTCTCAAGGTTATCCCTGTATTATATTTGTGGGTATAAATCTGAGCACAAACTATGTCCTTTCAACTCACATTTAAAGCCCCTGGCACAGTGCTTGACATAAGGCAGGCACATAGTAATATTTATTCTGTGGTGAATAACTTCCCTTTCAGCTAAATAAAGAATTATTGTTTTCATTGCTTTGTGGCTTCAGAGTATCTGCAGGAGGAAGAGAGAAAAAAAATCCCATATCAAATGGCTATGGAAGAAATGCTTCTCGAGGCTCTATGCTGTCAAGTCACCCTTCAAAGAATGTCTTCCAAGATTATCAGTATGGTGATGACACACAAGACAGATTTGTTCTTTGGATACTCTTTACCTCAGGAGGTTGTAGACCCTCAGCTTAGTAACTTTAGTCCAAATCCATAATTCCTAGTTAAGACTAATTAAATCTTTGTTAGTTGGGGAATATTTCATTTATCTTATTCATTTTCAGTGAAGTCAAGATGATTATGATCAGGACCGTAGACATTGTGCCATTAATAACAGCCTAAGACCTACTCCTTTGTTGAATGTGGCACCATCTGCGCTATATTCAAATGGTGTGATTGGTTTGGACCCTGGTGTGAGTCAATTCCTTCTCATGAGACTTTTGTAGAAAAGCAGTTTTCAGCAATAACAACTATCATCGTCCTTCCAACTATGACTCTCAACAACTTCTTTTGAGTGGCTTGTAAGATGACGGTCGGCACCTCTCTTACTGAGTATTGATGATGTGTCAACTGGAATGAGGTTGCATCTCATATCACAGACATTTAGCCGGCATATTACATACACTGTAGTATCTGAGGTACCTTGGCTGGACTCTCAAATAGAACGCAGGTCTTGACCTTCAATGTCAAGTGAATAATTAAAGTTGGTCTCAACTCTGAGCAACATATTCTCTCAAGGATATCCTTTGGCAAGCAGGGCTTTGGTCTAACCTCTACAGATTGAGAATTGGCTCATGTGTCTGAACTGCAAGCCGTGTCAGAACATATAGATTGACCTCATTCTTCTCACATCCCCTTAAAAAGGATGCCATATTTAATTTATTCCATCCCTTCTGCCACCACTTTTTTTTTCTTGGTCTGTTTTTCTAATTTGTTTGCCTCAAGGAATGAAACTCTATCTTGTATGAATCCCAGGGAGATGTCGGACTGCCATTAAAATTTTCACTAGGCCTCAAAGCTGCCACGTTACACAGAATTTGATCAGATGTCAGGGTGGAGGGCATATCCACCAACTTGCCAGGAGCACCCGAGACTCCTTGATGTTCCCTGCTTACTAAGAACAATCCTTTCTTGTCACTAGAAGTTGTAGTTTGGGGTAGATAAAGAATAAGAAGGTGTTTTAGGGGTTTTTTTTTGTTATTGCTCTTGTTTATCAAATAGTTCCTTATTAATTCAGAGACCCCTCTGTACAAATCTCATCCTGAATTACTTCAGCAAACAAATTTGGGAGTGCAAAAAGAACAAAACTACAGTTGAACTACAGTGCCCCCTGGCTTTCCAGTATCAACTTACATACCTCTGAGGTAAAAGTCATCTACTATGTATAGCTCAAGCTGTGTGGTTATCCCCACCCCTATATTCCTTAGACAAATGTCATAAATATGATGGGGCCATGCCATGCACAAATTATCATAAATTGTTCATAAAATAGGTATAAATAATCACAGGATATTTATAAGAGTGAATGACAAAAGCAAAAAATTAACTAAATACCGGCTTTTCCTTTCTCTGATGCAAGAGCCAATATTTCCTTAATGCAGATCCCCAAATAGTAATAATAGAAAGCCTTGCAGCATTAGTTACAAATAGAGCTTGTGGAGGAGGTTAATCATAATCTTTCCATGTTTATAATGTTTCGTCCAACATTAAAAACAATAATATGAAAAAAAAATAATACGCCCACACAAATGCCAAAGAAGAATTTCATAATCAAATGAAGTACCAGGGGCACCCAGGTGGCTCAGTCGGTTGTGTTGGACTCTTGGTTTAGGCTCAGGTCATGATCTCAGGGTCCTGGTTTCAAGCCCTGTCTCAGGCTCCATGCTCAGCTTGGAGTCTGCTTGAGAAATTCTCTCTCTGCCTCTATTGCCCCTCTCTCCTCCCCCTACTTGTACTCTTTCTCTCTCTCTTTCCCTCCCTCTCTCTCTCAAATCAAATGAAGTGACTTTAAGCTCACAAATCATGAGTGAAAGACTGGCTGTGAATGGAGACTGTGAGTGCCATTCTCTAGTAGAATCTATTATAGAATATATTGATATGCTACAGTTCAAAGTGGTTTTGTAGGGGCATCTGGGTGGCTCAGTTGGTTAAACTTCTGACTCTTGATCTCATCTCAGATCTTGATCTCAGGGTCGTGAGTTCAAGCCCCACGTTGGGCTCTGCACTGGGCGTGGAGCCTACTTTTAACAAACAAACAAAAAAAACAAAGTGGTTTTGTAAACCTTTTTTCATGGATGTGTGGAAGAGCATTTAATGATGCCTTCACAAAATTACAACATATTTTACCATGATATCAGACTCCATTTGTGACTATGATTTTTATAGAGATTGTCATTGTTTATATCCCTCACCAGATCATTGAAGTTATACTATAAAGAACCCATAAGGAAAACAAGAAAACAAAACAAAAGTCAATTTCCAGGACTACAGTATGTAAACAAGACAAAGCCAGGAAAATGGAATCAGTTACTTGAGCCACAGAGATGTTCCACCTCATGAATAGTGACATTCTTGTGTGAAAAAATACATTACTCCCATGTTGACTACACCTAATAGATACTCCTGCAGATTTCTTAAATTGTTATTATTTCTGGAAACCAACCTCCACTTGGGCATTTAAGAACAGAAGTACTTTACCAAAAGTCAGCATTTTTCCAAACCCTCCAAATGTGTCACCTAGTATTTAATAAAGTTGTCTGGCACTGCAACAGAGAGGAAAAGGAAGAGGATAGTGAGGGAAAAGCTTTATATGGGCTCAGATGATTCTATCTCCAAAAACAGACTCAATGAATATCCACAGAACTGAAACTGCTGGAGATCTAGAAGAAGATGTGGAGAAAATCCAAATATGAAGGCGATAGTATCTTTTTCTAAAATTCAGCACTGTAACTAGATTCCAAAAATGTATACTTTTTGGCTCTAGCAATATTCTTCTCATTACAGATGTTACAAAATTTATCAGCCTCTGAAGGTCAGCTGGTTGTCTTTGAATGCAGAGTAAAAGGAGCTCCATCTCCTAAAGTTGAGTGGTATAGAGAAGGGACCTTGATAGAAGATTCTCCAGATTTTAGAATTTTACAGAAAAGTAAGTTGATACTTTAAAGTATTTTTCTGATAATTAATTTTTATAAATGTATGGTATTCATTTATTTCTATAACTTTTTAACAACTAATTTAAAAAATAAAAGAAAAATTACTTGTAATCATAATCCTCCAAATAAATCCTAGTAATATTGTGTTGTCTATTCTCCAAAAATTTCTCCATGCATATGTTTTTCAAGAATAAAAATAGGGGCGCCTGGGTGGCTCAGTCATTAAGCGTCTGCCTTCGGCTCGGGTCGTGATCCCAGGGTCCTGGGATCGAGTCCCGCATCAGGCTCCCTGCTTAGTGGGAAGCCTGCTTCTCCCTCTCCCACTCTCCCTGCTTGTGTTCCCTCTCTCGCTGTGTCTCTGTCAAATAAATAAAATCTTAAAAATAAATAAATAAATAAAAATAAAATAAATCATATGCTTTTTTGTAAATTGATTTTTTCACTCAACATATCATGAACATCTTTTCCTGTTAATGAATATACTTTAAAAACAAATCAATACAATCAATTTTATATTTATTTAATCTCCTGTTGTCGAACATTTAGATTGTTCACAAATTCTTACTTTTGTAAACTGCTTCAATGCATATAAAAGCAAACTCATTTGTGAATATCTATAGAATAAAGAGTATTAGGGGTGCCTGGCTGGCTCAGTCAGTAGAGTATGACTCTTGATCTTGGGGTTGTGGTTTGAAGTCCCACATTGAGTTTAGAGTTTACTTAAAAATAAAATCTTAAAAAAAAAAAAAGAATAAAGAGTACAGAAATTGCTATTATAAATTCACCCATTTTTAGGCTTTCAATATATATTGCCAACATGCCTAACCCAAAAGACTGAACTAAATTGAGGATAATCACATAATTGATCATCCAATCTGAGACACTTTGGGAGTGAAAGAGACTGCTATTAATAATTACACAGAGATCCCAGGAATAAAACAGGTCTATCCCAAATGAACTGGGACACGTGTTGTCCTAGCTATATTCTACTACAACCAACAATATATGGGAATGCCATTTGTCTCATACCTTCACTAATAACGGGTATTTGACATTTTTTAAATTTTCACTAATTTTATAGGTCCAAAATGAGAATACTAGTTTTAATCTGTACTTCACTAAGTAAATGTGGGGTGGAACTTTTTTCATATTTATTGGGTCTTTGTATTTCTTTATTTTTAAAATTACCTATTCATATCCTTTGCTCATTTTCATACTGAAGTTTTGTTCTTTTTTACTGTAAGAATTATTTATATATGCAAGTGGTCAATTCTCCTTTTTCTTATCATATACTGCTTTCACCTTGACCCATTTTAGTCATAAAATACATTATAATTTATTTCCTTTTTTGTTAATTTGTCTCTGCTTATCACTGATATATGAGTCAAACTGCTATCAGGTTTTGTTTTGTTTTTTTTAAGTTTTTTCATTATTTATTTTGACAGAGAGAGAGACAGCGAGAGAGGGAACACAAGCAGGGGGAGTGGGAGAGGGAGAAGCAGGCTTCCCGCAGAGCAGGGAGTCCGCTGCGGGCTCGATCCCAGGACCCTGGGATCATGACCTGAGCTGAAGGCAAACGCTTAACGACTGAGCTATCACGTTTTAACAGTAGCAGCAACAATAATATAATCTGAATACCATTTAAACTTGAGAAGAAAAACTTTAATAGTTCTATCAGTGTGGAAGGTTGTAACTAAGTTCCACACTCTTACTGAATGCCTGCAATTGAACACCTGTATTCTGTTTTCAGTACCATGCAGGCACTTTCAGGAATGTCAAAGAATTTTAAGATAAAGAACCTGCTCTCTTGTTATCTATCCTGAGGCTCTCTGGCTATGAAAACACTTGATAGTCAGAGAGTTCTTCCTCCATCTTGTATATGCAAATATCCTCTGGAGACAGAATGCTTTATTTTATCAGGCAGGTACAATGTAGTGTGAATAAATTAATCAGATCTGGAAACCGTAGAGCAGGAGGTATAGTCTATGTTTTATTAGGATGTGAGAAGCCTAGCCAAGAATGAGCTCTCAGTCTTCACAAACCTTGTTTCAGGTACAGCTGAATGGGTATCAGTTAAAGCAAGTTGTTCCTGAATCCCTAACTCAGTCACTTTTCCTCACCTAAGGCTTTATGTGTCCCAAGTGGAATCCAGGTGTGTCCCGAGATATGGCAACATCTGCTTAGCAGCTCTCTTGCTGCCCTTCTGTGACAACTGTCTTGTCATTGGTGCTTTACTTCCACACTTACAGATTAACCTTATCAAATCACTCATGAGTATACAAGAGACTGAAATTCTATAGGAAGCTTCTGATGAAAATATGGCCTCTCGGTAAAAGAAATGCTTAGAATCTTTTCATTTTTTTTTTTTAGAACCTCGATCCATGGCAGAACCAGGTAAGGATCATTTTAACTTTAATTTGTTAGCGTGTTAGCATGTTAGCATTAGTGATTTTACATACATATAAAATATATATACATAAATCAGTGAATTTATATATCTTATATAAATAATAAAACATATTCCTGTTACACTGGTGTCAAGAAAAATATGAAAATACGGTTTTAGAAACAGGATTCTAACCCACTCTAGCTCTTATTGTAAGAGAAGGAAAGGAGGGGAGCACATGCAAATTTGGAATTTATATCCGATACTGAACATGAATGCAGTTAGTTCCTGGTTTTTAAGGGATGTTTCTTAGGAATATTTTCCCTCTGTTTTTTGGCCCCTACACATGACCTCCCAAAACTGGGCAGAGCAATTTTCATGATGCTAGATCAATTCCAATTCCACAGCTTATGTGTCTCAAAACTTATCCATCAGATTTTGAAATTTGCAGAATCAATAAAACATCCATGGTGTTGTTAGATTTGGATGGGAAGATACCAAGATGACATGGGAGTGATGGTAGGTGAAGCTTTTACCTCTAGAAAATGCAAGTTACTCACAAACTACAGTGTAAACATCTGAAAAGTCTTCTCTGTGATCACCCTGGAAAATTAGATTGTATTTGTACCGCTGGGTAAGAATGATGGTTTGGGATTTCATTATTATAATTCTCTCTTCTGAGAACTGAATGGAAAGGCATTCCAGAAGTAGACATGGAACATCCATATGGCACAGCCCTACCCTAGGGCCTTGGAGATACATAAGTAAAGAACAGAACAGCCCTACTCTTGAATTGCTTGTAGTGGAGTGGTATTTTTCCCCTTGAAAATCTTTCAGGTTTTGACACTTTTGTCCAGAGCAGACTTTTCCACTAGGCAATTTCATACACAAAATCATCTGAGTCACCCAAAAGGGGTCCCTTCCCAAAACAAGTGCTACCTTTCCCAGCTCTGAGATCTAAAATTTCATAGCCAGACAGTTCTTCTTCCTCCATCTAGTACATGCAAATACCCTTTGGAGGCAGAATACTTTATCAGGCAGGTACAGTGTAGTGTGAATAAATTAATCAGATCATTTTCTGAAAGTGGTTGTTGAAGGCTGAGAGTAGAAATGTTTGGGAAGAGGAACAGAGAGAGAGAAGAAAACATAGTCCAAGTGCTCAGAAAAAGTACAGAGAGGCACCAAAACCAAACTTTGCCTCTCCATTATTTAGGATTCTTGGCAGCAAGAAGACCTAACTAAAAGTGGCTTAAGCTTTAAGAAAAATGTATTTTCTCACATAGCAAGATGTCCTGAGAAATGTCTTGAGATTGGGTGATTTCACGTCTCCAAGATCATCGGGGGCCAAGCCTTTTTCCCATTTCCCATTTCACTGTCTTCAGGCTTAGGCTTGTTTTACTTATCTACCCAAGACAGCTGCCACAGTTCTGAGTATTGCATGCAGACAACACTGCAGAGGCAAAATTAGGGAACACAACTCTCTTTTGTTCTCTTCAAAGAGCAAGGAAATCTTTCTCATGAACTCCCCAAAAGACTTTCCTTCCTTCCTTCCAAAAAAAAAAAAAAAAAAAAGACTTTCCTTCCTATTTCATTGATTAGAATTGCGTAGTGCATGCCATGACTTAGCAAGAATAGAGCTTAGCGTGACCAATCATGGTTTGCCATCTGAGACTGGGAGAGGCCAAGTTGCCTTGAAGCACATGACCGCTCCAAGGAGGGTGGACAAAGCCGGAATTCTATTAGGAAGGAGGAAGGAGGAAGGAGGATGAAGAGCTATGGAGCAGGTACTCAATATCGTCTGCTGTGGCCTCCTGTCCAGTTTTCCTAGAGGCTGGCCAGCTAATTGAATTCAGTTATCACGAAACAGTGAGATTCCAAGTCCCTCCTAATACAACTATGTTTTTGTTAATTTTGTTTTTAGTGTAAGGTCCACTGAGTGATAACTGACAGTTTATGCTACTGTCCTATACTTCTCTTCACGTCAAGGAATATCTAACTATAATAATTTTAAGCTATAATCACGTGGTTCAATCTGGGAATCGCTTTTGTAGTTATTCAAAGGGGGTTCATGCTGTGTATTGAAGTAATCCATAAGAATTACCATAGCATTGCAAAGGAAAAGATGCATTTCACTCTTCTTTTACCTGGAATTTCAAATTACTCTATCAGCTAATTACTACTAGCTCATCAAAATATTTCTTGCCCAGTTTTAAATTGTGGCCCTCATTTAAAATTACCTCAGTGCAAAAGTTCCCCACAGACATAATAAGAGACCTAGGTTTTAAAATGTTTTATTAATCCTTTTATCTCACACAAATCTCCTTTTGCGTTAACTCCTAACTTGTTTTTGTGATTTGTAAGTTTACTTTTTCTCAGTTCTATTTTTGTCATCTGGAGTGATGACATAAAAACAGAAAATAATATGGGAATTCACAATATATTTAGATATTATATTATCATAAGATCCTCTTGCCAGTAGTCTATGTGGAGTTTTTTGTTCTACATCCTTTGATTCATTGAGACTGCTCATCAGTCAATCCAATCAAATAATTGTTTGAACTGATTATTTTCAAACAATTACTAGAATCAACTTCTTATATTGACTTTTGTAGAATCATCATCTGTTATCAGTAAATTTTATAATTCTATTTCCACAATTAAGTCAGTAACTGTTCTGTTTTATTGGTGTTTAGAGGAGATTTGTACTTTGGTCATTGCTGAGGTGTTTGCAGAAGACTCTGGATGCTTCACGTGTACTGCAAGCAACAAATACGGCACAGTGTCAAGCATTGCACAGCTCGATGTGAGAGGTAATGGCGCCTGAAAGGCCAGAACAGTCTAGACTATGGAACAATATCCAATTGGATATTGGATTTCTTTTAGCATTTATGACCACCACCACCACCCATTATCCTGCTGTTATCTCTGATATTCCCTAAGAAAACATCTCCTTGGTCTTTTATAAACTTCTAATATTCTTTCCAAAATCGTACTTAGATTTTTAGTTTAGTTTTTTTTCCTGTATCTTCACCATTCTTTAATGCCCCAGATTGTGGTCACTGTTTTTGACAGGCATTCTCCCATTAACATACTCATCTGGTTTGGATACATGCCCCAGCTCACAGTTACAATCCTACCTCCGTTTTACTGAGTAAGGCTGACAGCTCAGGTCCTGTTATTGTCCTTTCAGGAAATGAAGACCTCAGAAATAATGGGTCTCTTCACTCAGCCAATTCCACCACCAACCTGGCTGTTATTGAGCAACAACCATCCCCACCCAACCCAGAGCCCCCTTCTGTGGAACATCCCCCTAAACCCAAACTCGAAGGAGTTCTGGTGAACCATAATGAGCCCCGGTCCAGCTCAAGGATTGGGCTCCGTGTGCACTTCAACCTGCCTGAAGATGACAAAGGAAGTGAAGCATCTTCTGAGGGTGGTGTGGTGACCACCAACCAGACCAGGCCTGATTCTTTCCCGGAGAGATTCAACGGACAGGCAGCAAGAATCCCTGAACCTTCTTCACCCGTCAAAGAACCCCCTCCAGTTCTGGCCAAACCCAAACTGTAAGTAAAAATTAAAATGGATGACCAAGGATGCCTGTGAGCTTCTCTGAATCTGTCCTTAAAAATAATGGGGCTGAATGGGACAACTGCGTGGCTCAGTTGGTTAAGTGTCCAGGTCTTGATCTCAGAGTCATGAGTTCAAGCCCTGCAATGGGCTCCATGCTGGGTGTGGAGCCTACTTAAAAAAAAAAAAAAATGGGGCTGAAAAGGAAATTACAGAATGGGAAGATACAATTTAAATGCTTTGCAAACGATAAATCCTTACATCAACATTAGTGTACTATCACTACTATCCTTACTGTTAAATATTCTACCTCTGAAAAATGTCACACCTAATGTTACCCCTAAACTAGCTGATAAAGATGTTTGTCTAACATTAGAGGCTCCAGCTGAAGCACTTCTACACTCTTCTTATAAAGCCTTTTCTTGCATCTAATAATCCTTATAATCTATAATTTCATCCATATGTTTCCCATTTCTGCTTCAACTAAAGCTTTTGTAGTCTTTTTGGAAGAGATATTTAGTACTTTTTTGACTGTTCTTTGCTATGGCTAGATATGCTATAGTAACCACAGTAGGTTTCATATAATATAATGGGGATGAAAGAATGAGGAGTCATAATTTTCAGACTCACCTTGGGGCCTGATGTGGTGTCACCCTAACCCCTCAGAGAGCCTCCATCGGAGCCATGTTGCAATGTTTAATGTTCATCCATAATAAAGCAAACACAGAACATAATACTACTACTATGTTCTGTTTGAGCCACATGTCAAAATTATAAAAATTACATTTATAATTACATAAACTTTTAAAGGTCAACATTAAAATCTATAGTAACAGTGATCCCGTCATGTGTTTCTCAGTGCAGAACACAAGATGTTCATTGGAAGGAGGGCATGTCATTTAGTTTTATATTCTTCTCACTACCACATAAGGCAAAATCCTGGGCATAAAATTAAATGTATGAAACATGCCTCTTGGAAAACCACGTCCAAAAATGTCTCCGTCCCCTGAAAGTTCTGCTGGTCACAGGAAATAGGAATCCGCTAAAGTAAAAAGAGGGAAGAGGTTACTGTAGGGAAATAGGCAGGAATGGGAACCCAAAGGCAGCCCGGTCCTGCCTAGAGAAGGATAACCCAAGCCTCTGTCCACCACTCGCTCTCCGTTTGGAGCACCTCCTTGTTTCTTCTTTGCATATCCTCTCCACTCTTCCCTCTCTGAAGACTCATCACCTCACACCAGGCCCATCATGGCATGTCCCATTCTACAATTTGTGTCAAGTTCCACTGCTAATTAAATCATTCATAGCAACTCAATTCCAAATCCCAGCTGGTCCAGCCTGGTCAGGTGAAGAGGATTTATGTTTGTTGGAAAGAAGAGTCAAATGGATCAAATCAGAACTGTGAAGGGTAGTGGGGTGGGGGGTGGGGGGATTTCTCAGAAAAGGGAGTTTTGGGAACAGGTAATCCAAAACAATTTCCTTAGGAACTGCCTTCTTACAGAGCCTCTCCTACCCAGGGACTCTTCAGGGGCGATTAGGTACATCAGTTAGGATTCCGTTTAGCTTCATGTTGCAGAAAGCCCAAATAAATGTGGGTTAAACACATGAGGGTTTTTCTCTTAAATAATGGAATTAATTGGGCAGTCTGGGGCCATTAGACTGGCTCCATAGTCATTGACACCCCAGTCTCCTGTCTTTCTGCTCTGCCACCTTCAGCACTTGCTTCTTCTCCAGGTCTCCCCTCATGGTCCGGGATGGCTGATGGGGGTCTAGTCATCACGTCTGATTTCAAGCTGCAAGATGGGCAAATGGGTGGAAGGCCTGATGTCAGACTCCTTTTAAGGAGCCTTCTTAGGTCTTACCCAAAATCTTGTGCTTGTATCTCATCAGCCAGAACTTAGTCACACAGTTTAGTAGCTGCAAAGGAGACTAGGAAGTGTAGTCTTTGGCTGTATATGTTGCCTCCATGAATAAAATCAAATTCTTTTACACAGGGAAGAAGTAAGTAGTCAGCCAGCAGCATCTGCCACATCAGACTTTCAATGGATATAATAATTCCTGCTATTAAATTATGTAATGACACCCTCTACAAATCCAGTCCTCAGCACTATATAATTCTTTAATCTTTTTTGCCTTCCTTAAGGTTTCTCTTGTGTGTCTATAGGTTTGTATTAGTAGAGGTATGAACATACACCTATGTGTGCACACACACACACACACACCAGTCCTTTGTGCACCCATATGTCTGCAGCCTTTTCCTTCTGGTTTTGACCTCATTGGTTTTAACCTTTTAGGTTTTGCATTAAAATATATCGACTCTCTGAATAATCTTCTTGAGGATACACTTTTCTGCTCGTTCCTTCAATTTGCCACTCATACAGAAAATAGACATAATTCTTACAGATCTTAAAACTGCAACAGAAAGAGAAACTGTCCTTTTTAAACATTGTATCATCAAAGCCTAGATAATTCAGACTTTGAGATTTTCAACCTGAATTTCAAGATTGTCTAGAGCAGTGATTCTTCATCCTGGCTACACTCTTTACTAAAATGTGGAGCTTTTAAGAAATATTTATGCCTTCCATCACAATTGAATCAGAATCCCTCCACAGATTATTTTAACATTCAGCCAGTTTGGAAACTACTGGTCTAAAGTTGGAAAGTCTGGGTTACAACACTTTATCATTCCACCCCACCCCATACACACACCCCTGCACACCCAGGAGAACACAATAATTAACATTTAAAGTGGGGAAAACGTCAGACAAAAATCAGCATGTACTGGGAAAGCCTGTTCTGGGGACAAGTGCTTCTTTAGAGCAGAGGTTCTCAGTCCCAGATGCATGCGAAAACCACCTAGAGCCTTGCTATTCACAGCCCTGGCATCACCTGGGAGGTTGATAGAAATGCAGATTCTCAGGCCCCACTCCAGACTTGAATCCGAAGCTGGGGGTGGAGGCGGGGAGGGAAATAGGCAGGAATGGGAACCTGCCTCCAGAGGCTTCTGAGGCTCACTAAAGTTTAAGAACCACTGTCCTACTTTTTAAAAGAAAATAATAACTAAGCCTGGATCTTTTCCCAGGCCACTTGACTCTCTGGACAATGGTGCCTAAATCACTGAGGTTTGTTTGTCTTTTATGCTCTGTGGGTGATTTTAACGGGCAGCCAGCATGGTAGCCCCTGCTAAAACCACAGCTAGAAGCCAATTGCAGAGACGTATTTAGAATTAGTTATCCTAATCAGTGATGTGCTGGCAGATGTTTTAACAACGGGTAGAGACGGGGAAGCCCTGATTTGTAGCATTTGCCAATTTTCTCCCACCGTGTTCTATTTCAAGTTACTAAAGAAAGGTCATTGGACTGGGAATTGGAATGAGATGTGCACAGTCTGCTCTCCAGAACAATCGAGAGCTGGCTCCAGCACACACTGCCCCAAATTTTTGTTGCCAAAACTGCTTTCAAAAGTACTTGATACACCATTTTGTTTTGTTGTTTTTGTCACTAAGACTTTTATCTCAACAGTTCAAAATCCCTAAGAAATTCCACAAGAAGCACCCTTATTATTCTGAAACTCTTAATTTTCATTCTTACAAATCTTGAAATTGATATTTGTAGTTCAAAAACTAAAGATAAAATAGCCACCATTTATTGATGACTTACATGTTTTAGGTGATTTGATCAATTCTCACAACAATGTTGAGATATTACTTATTCCTATTTTATTTATGAGGCAATCAGGGTCAGAAAAAGTCTAGAAACTACCCAAAGCCACACAAACAATGAGTGGCAGAGCCAGGATTAGGACCTAAGTCTGTCTGTCTGCACAAACCATATTCTTGAGCATCATGCTTAAATTATGTGTTGTGGCAAAGGAGAAGATGTATTCAGATAACCCAAGAGAGCTGATAAATCTGCCTGGGTAAAAGAAAGCTTGATGTCAGCTTGAAAGCTGATAAAAGAAAGCTTGGGTATAAACCTGATTTGAGAAATCCTCATGGCAACAAGAAAAGAGCAGCTGAGCTTATAGCAATTTATGACAGGCTGTTACTTTGAATTAGAGATGTTACTGGGGATTTTAGAACTAGTAGCCTTTGTAATTAATTTTCTCTTCCTTTATTCTTTCATTGCCCTTTGTAACTTCATTATTAAAGCAGTAAGTAAGTTCCACATGTTCTCTTAAATAACCGGTGGTTATTCATGTTGTATGTATGTATGTATAGTAAGATTTTTGAGCCCTGAATAGCTTGTACTATCTCAGATATATATATATATATATATATATCCTAGAGTGCCTAGCAAAGTAAACACAGAAGATTCAATAAAAGTTTGTTGAATAATGGAATTGACACCTGATGTAATGAATAAGCGAATCCAAACTGCTGTTTAAATCCCTTCTGAAACAAGACTGATAAAATGAGAAACAAACAAACAAAAAAAACCAACCTTGTTCAAACAAAAAGAGACATTATTCTCAAATGAATTCTTACAGAAACTTGGATAATCAAGACAATTTGACACTGTATCTCACATATCATTATGTTTACGGTTTGTAACCCTCTCTAATCCAATATACTGCATTGAATGATAAGGGCTAACATGCCATTGGAAGTCTTAAAGTAAAAAGCTAGTTCTGAGGTTTTTATTCAATGGGAACTAAAGGAAAATAAGAATCAATCAATACCAAATGACTTCCTGCCCCTTTTTATCATCCTTATCTTTCTAAGATTACTTACTTGTCATATACTACTTTTTTAATTTCCATAGCCACAAGAAAATATTTCTGCAAAATCATAAGACTAAAATTTGTGTAGACTACTCTGTACAGAGATGTCCTAAAAATTGCATAGCATTGTCTTCAGGCTATAGCAACCACAGAATGTAACCTGACAATTATGAAATCCATTAAAATCTAAAGATTTTTGTATTTTCATGCCGTTGGGAAAGTTAACCCTAACAGAAACAGTATTAATTGTATATATTTTATATTTTTCTAAGGATAATCTAACAAAGATATTTCTGCTTCTCTTGATTGCTCAATCTTTCATCCATGATGAAACTAAAAGGTTTAATTAATCTTTAATTATATTACTTTATTCTCTCAGCTTAAACACTTCTAAGAAAGTTACTGTACCAAGTGGCTAATGCTTCTGAACTCTTAGTTTAACTCAAAACAAGAATTTTCATCGATGAACAAAGAAGGATTGCATATTATATAGCCATTTGACAACAGATGGGACTCTGTTTTATGAAGTTACTTTTCCATATATCATGTATCAGAAGTGTTAATGAAAGGAAGGAGAAAGGCCTTAAACTCCCAGAATTAAGAAAAATCAAGGTTTGGAGAACCTCCTGGTTCAACTTTATTACCATTGGTGTTGACTTTCCTAATGCTATGAAAATACTGAAGCTTTCATTTTTAATAGATCTCATGTTCAGCAGATCACCTTCTATGTTCCAGAAGCATCCTACGTTTCTGAAGAACATAAAACCTTCGTAGCTTGAAACACCACAGTCTTCCTTGTGGATCTTCCTGTAGTTACTCATGTGAGAGTAAATTCTTCTAAACAGCAAAGTTTAGCAGCATTGACAACTTTATGCACATAAGCTTTTTAGAGATTTTCATTTTCCATTTTCTTTCTTAAAAAATAAGTCACCAGGAACACCTGGGTGGCTCAGTCAGTTGAGCGTCTGACTCTTGATTTTGACAGAGGTCGAGATCTTGGGATCATGGGATTGATCCCTGCATCTGGCTCACTCTGAGCTCGCTCCCTCTCCTTCTCCTTCTGCCCCTTCTCCTGTGCTCACTTGCTCTCTCTCTTACTCTCTCAAATAAATAAATCTTTTTTTAAAAAATTAATTATTTTTTAAAAGATTTTATTTATTTATTTGACAGAGAGAGACACAGCGAGAGAGGGAACACAAGCAGGGAGAGTGGGAGAGGGAGAAGCAGGCTTCCCGCAGAGCAGGGAACCCGATTCCAGGACCCTGGGACCATGACCTGAGCCGAAGGCAAACGCTTAACGACTGAGCCACCCAGGTGCCCCATTATAATTAATCATTTTGTTAAGATAAATTAAATAGACTGTGGGCAAATCATGTAATGCTTCTGTGACTCAGCTTCGTACAAAAGAAGAAAGTACTCCCAGCTTGATCTTCTTTGTCCTCTTAGGAACAAGAAAAGTCTAAGGCAATGTTTCTAATTGTGATGGCCATATAATCTACCATTCAAACCATGACATTTTTGAGAGTAAAAGAGTAGTATTGATAATTATGCCAGGAAAACAGGCATAAACCAAGACTGCCCAGGATGTATTGAGACATATGGTCACCTTATCTATAATGCGTTGTTGTCGAGAGAGGATGAGAAATACCAAGACACATCCAGGGGTTTTATTAAGGTTTGCTTTACAGAATGAAGACTACAACGCCTTCAGTTACTTACATCAGTCTGTAGCTCACTGCCTTCTGGCCCAAAGCTGAGATACAGCGGCTCCTATCAGAACTTTAGGCATTCCCAACAGAGGACCATGGTTTCTATTTCTTTTTTCTAATTCATAAACATTCTAAAATTGTGCTGCCATGTTTCAGGGTCACAACACAAAGAATACCATGTGAATGATGCCTTTTGGAGTTGTGCATTGTGGTGGCTTTTCCCCCTTCTTCCCAACAATAAATCAGATTTAGAAAGGAGAAACAGCTCACAAGGAATTGATTGGCTCATTTCTGGCAACCCTGGTTGTGTGTTCTGAATCAGCATAGAACTGTAAACAGCCTGTCATACATTTTCTGCTGGGTGAGCTCGATGGTGACAGATTTCCCTTCTCTCTCCCCACTCTTGTGTGCAGTGATTCCAGTCAGCTGCAACAGCTTCACAACCAAGTCTTACTGGAACAACAGCAGTTGCAAAACCCATCTCCTTCCTCTCCCAAGGAGTTTCCTTTCAACATGAGTGTTTTGAACTCCACTGCTTCCTCGGCAGTGACAATGTCCAGCAAGCAGGTGAAGGCCCCTTCATCACAGACGTTCAGCTTGGCCCGGCCAAAGCATTTCTTCCCCTCTTCAAATACAACCACAGCAACCGTGTCCCCTTGCAGCTCTCCAGTGTTCACCCTGAGCAGCACTCCTCAAACCATTCAGAGGACAGTGAGCAAAGAGAGCCTCTTAGTTTCCCACCCCTCCGTGCAAAACAAGTCTCTAGGAGGAGTTTCCTTCCAAAATGAGCCACCCCCTCCAGCTCCAGCAGAGCCAGCGCCATCGCCACTCACATTTGCCATCTCCAGTGGAAACCAGTTTCAGCCCCGCTGTGTTTCCCCAGCTCCTGTCTCTCCCACCAGCCGGATTCAGAACCCAGTGGCTTTCCTCAGCTCCGTTCTTCCTTCTCTCCCCGCCATCCCACCCACCAACGCCATGGGGCTGCCCAGAAGCGCACCATCCGTGTAAGTGTCATTAAGATTTCTCAAGAAAAAGTTGTCACTTAAGAAACGACATATGCATGGAATAGCTTGGTCTGGAATAGGACTCTCATTTAGTGGATTCCTAGATAATCCTATCTCTTAGGCACTAAACGGATATTGAACACCTTACGGTGAAGGGCATGATTACTTTAATTTTTAATAATTTAAATATTGAAAACACCTCTACAAACACAGATTCTCTGTGCAGTGCTCAACTTTGGTACACAAGATGCCCTCCCTAAGTGCCCGATGACTCCTGGTGTCTGACCACCATTTCAGCCACTCTGATTTCTAGGCTTTTGGACACTGGCAAGAGTTTCTCATGGGTGTGTCAGGTGTGAATTTATTTTACAGGCCATCCCAGGGACTAATGAAGAAAAACACAAAGTCTCCTCAACCGCTGAATGATGATTACGTTCGTGAAACTAAGAATGCGGTGATTCTAGACTTGGGGAAAAAAATGAATTTCAGTGATGTCAGATCAAACCAGCAGGTAAGATTGTTGCACTCAAATGGTTTATTGGAATTTCATAATAAGAAATATCATTTCACTTAATTTAGTCCTTGGATGGTCAGGTCACCAGACCTCAGTGAGCCTGACCCTGCAGTCTTAGAAGATAGAGCGTAGATTAACCGAGGGTCATATAGGAAACTCATCCACATGGATCTACAGTTCTTGATTACCCCAGTAGTTAATTCAATTTAACTGTTTATATGCATTCACATAGAATGGAATATGTTAGAGAAAGAGAGGGACTAGCTAGTATGTTGGCAATTCCAGCAATCCTCAGCTCAGTATAGGCAAACACCATCGCATCTTTGAAATACTGCAATATATGAGAAGATCTAGACTTAAAGGAACTCTGGGACACCACGCTGTCCTTTATCTGACTCCTACAATCTAATGTGCTAGAGGTCTGTTTACCAGTTCCTCTCAATCTTTACATTAGCTTGAATCATGTGAAATAGCCATCAATAGTCAATATCCTGTGGTTCAACCCATACAACTCCTTACTTACTAGTAAGTGTTCACACTGAAAGAGAAAAAGGAAAGCCATGGGTGAGCATCAAATAAAAGAAAAATAAACTGAGTATTTTGTTATTTGAGCCATTTGTTTTTGCGTTTCATAACGTGGTTATTTTGTAAACGTCGGTTTACATTTTAATAACCTAACTCTTGGTTTATTTCCCACGGTGGGAACTGATAAAAAATCTATTTTGAAACATAACATAAGATTTCAGTCAAAATTACATGCCAAATATTGTGGAATTTGTAGCATAAGTGATCCCTGGAAACAAGGCTCCAGATTTCCCTGACCATATGCTGTTTTCCTTTGTTTCTGTCTTTTACCTCCAGTGGAGACATGGATATACAGTATTTTACAACTGTGCGATATGTTGGGCAATTTTTACTAAGTAGGTTCTTTTGAAAATCTGCTGCTTAAAATCTTAAAATTGACTTTAAATTGTTGAACTGAAGAAGAACATTTAAGCTTGTTATAACTGAGGACACTTTTCACATATTATTTCACCAAGTTACATACATTTCTGTGAGGCAAATGCCAAGGCAACTATTCTTCTCCCTTCCATCTTCTAGAAACCGAGAAATGGGGGCACAGTTGTCAAACTGTCAGTGGCGGAACTAGAACTAGAGCCCTAGTCTCCAGGACACTTCACATATTCCCTGAAACTGTGAAGTCTTTGTCAGTTTATGACAATTACCTTTAAGTCCCCATAAATATTGCTCTGTCTGATGCAGATTTGCTTTCCTATAATACTGTCATCACATTTGTGGTTGTTAATCCTTCTAAGTGTCACTGAAATCAGAGCTGTGTTCAGCCTATGTCTTTCGCAACTCAGAGAGGGAGCAATTAGAACCCTGTAAAAATAAAGACCAGGTCAGCACACAAGCTGTGTGATGTCACTTTCATAGTTACTCTGTAGGTAGATCGATGCTAATCCCCGCCCAATTCATGGCAAAGTTGGGTTTTTCTCCTAATTAGCTGAAATGTGAGTATACGTGAACATGAACTTCTATGAGTTGAGTGTCATAAACCTGATAGAGCTCATTATTAGCTCCAGGGCTAATAGCAAGGCCTAGGATCAGTTTCAAAAAGCATCTCCATACTCTCCATTTGAATATCTGTGACATGCATCAATGTCCTTCTGAGAATCATTATTCTGAGAATTGCTATGGTAGTTTAGTTACAGAATTGGTTCTAGACGGAGTTCTATGCCATGGATAAGAAAACCAAGCTGTATAAATGCAATTCAGGATACTAAGAGGGAAACTTTGCATTAGGTTGGTAGATGTTGATTAAGTTTTGAGGAATAAAATGATGACCACATTATAATACTGCTTTATCATTGTTGCCTTGGGAAATGATAGTGAAGATGTTGTGAAGCACTGTCTAAAATGTATTGTGGCCTGTTGGTGACGTTAGAAGAAGAAAATTTGCTTGGGAAAGTGGAAAAGCAATCATAAAGAAACACTTGTATATTGATAGTCATCTATATCTGCAGTTTGGAGACACAGGAATCAAAATGATCAGTTTTCTCATTCCCATATTAGGCTGCCCATATGAGGGGGAAGCAAATGATTTCTTCTGAAGATTTGTTGTTGTTTTATTTTGCTTTGAAAACTTTTAGGTCCAAAAGCTGGACTCTCTGACCCTGTTTTATTCCTAGCCAATGAAGAACAGCAACCTCTTAGAACATGTGTGTGGGCTAGCCTTATCCCATTATGCTGAGCATGAAAATAAATCAGAGGTCCTTGAACAACGAATATTGACTATAGACAATTTCCTCCCCAGAACTCAAATCCTAAATTAATGTTTTGGAAAATGGGTTTTCTTTGACATATCTACCACTTTGTATTTTCCTATTGTAATATTTCAGCATTTACTTTCTACCTCATTTTATATAACCTTTCTAAATAGCAATTAACGTCTGCTTGTTGATTCTTAGAACATTCTGTGACACAAAGGTGTCATCCTTTCAGATGTTCATATTTATTAAAATGGTTAGCTTTCTAAACTGACAGTGAAGTTTCTTTGAGTTGGGGATAAACCAAGAGAGGTGCCCAGCTTCTAGATTTTAGGCTGTATCATTTCTTATTTTGAAGGGTATCATTCACCACCAGTGAATCTGCAGTGAACATCAATAAAACTTAAATGGTTTAGGATAGCAAGGTGAATCTGAGAGGTCAGAGCAACCCAGGATCACAAAATGTAATAATGAAGGTTTCATGACCAATGATTTTAATTCACACATGACTTAACATGATTTCTACACCCAGTAACTATTTGGTGGCTGTTAATTTCTAAACACACACACAGTGTCTTATTTCAGCTTTCCTCCTTGACCTCATTTCTCTGGAAACCTTCCCATCTCTTTATTCTGCTCCCCACCTCCAACATACTTTTTTAAATTAATGCTTCTTTAAAATTGTCTGTGGTTCCCAGATACTGCTATGTATGACAAAAGAAAAAAAAAAAAGCACCTAATTCTTGCTATGCTTTTTGTTCCTCTAATCTTCTTCTCTAAGCTGCTTAGTCATTTCTTCTATCTAAAGCATACCTCTTTCATCTCTTACTATGAACTCTTTATGAAAATCCTATTTTGTGAGTCTTGCCATCCATTCCTTTTCTAATGAGAATTCCACACAGCCATTGACCTTAGGTTGCTTATCTTGAGCACAGTAGAACCTTGGGATAGTGAAGTGTCCCTGTGTTATTGGCTGTGGACCCAACCAGAATGCACCAGTCACAGTCTCCATGGGAGATGGGATTGGTGGATGTCTTAATCATTGCCGCACCCCGTTGTGTCTGGCACAGAGTAGGTACTCCATGAATAATATTTCCTGAATTAGCACACGGCTATGGGATTTACATTAGTTTCAGATAAGATAATGAAACTTTTGACCAAATAGAAAAATTTGGATCTGTGGCCTATCTATGGAAAATACCTCACTTGACTATATAGATTCTGATTATGCCTAATTGAGGATACTACCTTATGACAATAATCCACTTCAATCAATAGATTAAAAAATGAAAACACTGAAATTAAGCAAAACTCTGGTGTTAACTGAATGTCAGCTTCACACAGAAAAACATTCTCTCCTTTGAGCACAGACATCACTTACAAGCGGCTAATGCAGAAACTGCTGCTTTTACTCACAAAGGGGCAAGGCAAGGGGAAATGGAGAATGCAACATAAATTCAGTCCTGGAAATTCAAAGCCTGTGTCTACCAACAGTGGATCTGTATGTAGTACAGCCTTTGTACAGAACAGTGCAGAAAGCACCTACATTTAACGTAAACTTATTGCTTTTGTTTGCAAATTTCTTTACAAAATCTGAGCCTCATCAGTCATAACTTGGAATGAAAATCTTGACTGATGTGTAATCGGGGTAGTTATCCTTGGGATGACCAACCCTTAGTTTCAAAACACTACAAAAAGACGTCAGTTTCTGCTTTGGGGATGGTATACATCTTCAGTAACAGCTCAGAAGTAAAGATTCAGTGCTTTAGCAACAAGCCACATACCCTGCCACACAACTGCATGGCTTCCTTGTTCCTGTTTCTGATTTCCAAAATATTTATGAAATCTTTCATGGAAATTCCTTGATCTACAGTATTCTTATTTTGTTGCTCATTTGCAATTTACACATTATATACATGGTACATTAAACAAATATGTCTAAAAAGAATTTTTTTTTTCTCCCAGTATCCCTTTGAATTTATTCTGTGGGACTATTTCTTCTCCTGCTCCTGGCAATCTCAACTATAAGGCAATCTCAAAACAGTTTTGGCCACATTTAGTACCTTTAAGGTTCTGTGGTAACTTTGTTGCAAAATACAATCTTGATCCAGTAGTACAAAATTTCCTTATTCAAAAATAAGACCCCACACACGAACACCCCTATCCACACCCCACAGCGCAGGGACTGCTACAAATGGTGAACCTAAAGCCAGGAAGGGAAGCGTGGCCAGCTGCTCTCTTTTTTTGCTCCCTCCTCCCCCACTTTACTAACTGTCCTCACTCCCTTTCCCAGCCATGGAGAGGTGAAAGCTGACCCCACAGTGGCTTAGTGTTGTATGTGGCCCACGTGTGCCTGACAGGACCCATCACGGGTCCGCTGCCCTGACACAGTGCAGGTGTGAAGGCTAGTCAAAGTAGCCTTCAGCTTGCCCACTGACAAAAAGCTGCCTCACTCCTCACTCCAGCTTTTTTAGGCAGGAGTCAGATACTAACCCACTGCAGAAAACAAAGCAAGCTCTCCAAATGAGTCCATTTAATCTCCCTCGCTGAGCTTGAAGTGAAGGCAGGTGCCCTTGGGGTAGAGGGGGAGGTAGGAGATGCAGAGACACAATAGCTCTCTCCAAAGTCCTCTCACTGGAGCTTCTCCCCCCTCACTCCTTTGTATCTCTGGTGAAGGTGAGGGGTTTAAATGGTCTAGCCTGTCTGTAGGCACCTGCTTTGAAATTGTCTGCCAATTCACTTGTTTTCTGACATCTAGCCCATCTTAGTGCCTCAATAAAAACTTCCAGTTAAGATCTGGTTGCAACTGGGGCGCCTGGGTGGCTCAGTTGGTTAAGCAACTGCCTTCAACTCAGGTCATGATCCTGGAGTCCCTGGATCAAGTCCCGCATCGGGCTCCCTGCTTGGCAGGGAGTCTGCTTCTCCCTCTCCCGCTCCCCCCTCTTGTGCTCTGTCTCTAAAATAAATAAATAAAATCTTTAAAAAAAAAAAGATCTGGTTGCAACTGTATCCTCAGTACCTAGTTATGAGTAGTATTTTTTAAATAACTCATTGAGTGTTCTGTTTCCATCACCTCCCAATTTGTCGTACTGATAAAGTAATAAATGTATAACCAATATGCATACATTTATAGTAAAACAAAATGTGCATATTTTCATCATCTTGCTTCTGTAGTTCCTTGGATCAAATCAATTCAAACATTGATAAATTCTGTAAAATCAGGCCCCAACTTGGTAAAATCCAGTTTGGAATACATGGAGACAATGTGGTATTTATATTCTCGGGCAGGCACTTATGGCCCTCATATATATCATTCACTGTGTTCCTGAAGGTTAGGTGTAATCATAACTTACCATTATGTACAAAATACTTCTTTGGGAAAATTACTTCATACTTTCAAAATAGAATTTCAGGAATTCATCTTTCCCTACAATAACTCTGACAAGGTATTTAGCCAGGAGGTTACAGCCCTTACAGGTCAGGCAATAGGAGAAGCTTCAGGGAAGACTCTCTAATTTAGAGCAAGGACTCCATTAGAACAATGGCTAGAGTTGGTATGGAATGGACTAGGAATTTGGAGACTTAAATGAAACAAGATGAGAAGCTGTAAAAGGCTAAGACCTCCTGCCACCCTCACAAAAAACTCTGGTATTTCCTGAACCCCTAGGATCTGTGTATGAGGTTTGAGAACTGTGTGAATTATTCTGTTTGGAAGTAATTTTTAAAATAATAGAGCTTCTATTTAATACCTACCTCATATGGTAAGGGAATAAAATGACTCATTGGTTTTACTCCTAAATATCCAGGAAAATAAACAAATGTGTTAAAAAGAAAAATAGTATATATTCAAAAGCATAAATGCAATTCAAGAAAGAAGAAATATATACTCTTCATGTGATTTTAAACTGGCGAGACTAAGAAATATTTCAAATTTGGGGGAGCATTTAATGTATGTAAGGAAAAATATAGTCATTGTTAAGTATTAAATTGAATCATATGAAAGTCTACATTTTTGACCTACAAAAATGTCAGTTTCATTTAATTCAACCAATAGGTAGATAGTTGGAAGCTTTAATGATTAACTTTTTTTTTTAAGATTTTATTTATTTATTTGAAAGAGAGAATGAGAGAGAGAGCACATGAGAGGGGGGAGGGTCAGAGGGAGAAGCAGACTCCCTGCTCAGCAGGGAGCCTGATGTGGGACTTGATCCCGGGACTCCAGGATCATGACCTGAGCCGAAGGCAGTCGCTTAACCAACTGAGCCACCCAGGCGCCCCTAATGATTAACTTTTTAAAAACTCCTATAATGTAGAAAATAGTCTTAATACTTTTAAACTAGGTTTCTTAATACTTTTAAACTAGGTTTCAGATTAATAGAAGTGAACAATTTTTTACTTTAACTGGTTTGAATTATCTGATTAAAAAATAATAAGGTAACAGGGACACCTGGGTGGCTCAATCGGTTAAGCATCTGCCTTCGGCTCAGGTCATGATCCCAGGGTCCTGGGATTGAGTCCCGCATCGGGCTCCCTGCTCCTTGGGGAGCCTGCTTCTCCCTCTGCCTCTGCCTCTCTCTCTCTCTCTCTCTCTGTCTCTCATGAATAAATAAATAAAATCTAAAATAATAATAATAATAATAAGGTAACTGGAGATTAATCATTTTCTCTACCCTGAAAGAGCTGTGGATTTATTTTGCTTACCTAGTGTGAGATGCGGCCAAGACAAGAGGATTTAAAATTGTTTTCAAGAAATTGAAACCAAGAAACATCTGATTTCTGTATTTCCGTGTTTCATAAGTTCCAATTCTACACAAATTCAGGTGATAATATGTGTAAGACAATAACTAAAGGACACGAGTAATGTGATTTAATAGCTTGAGAATACATCTTATGAGTCCTGAACTCACTCTGCCTAAGACTGGGACAGATGTATATCAGCCATGTGCTTCCAAATTCTATTTCAGGAACATCCTAGTGCCATCTCCATGGAGCTCATCTAAATTATGAAACTGTGGTTAACTAGAGTCACAAGCTTAACAGAAGGTCTTACCCTCAACCCAAAGCCATGGCTCTGAAGTCCTCAAAGATGCAGTTGGAACAAGTGATTGCCCCCATGTCATCTATGTCTTCACTCATTCTTCAGATACTCATTGAGCACCTGCCATGAGGCAGACACTATTCCAGGTGCTGTTGATGTAGTGAGAAGCAAGATAAAGAAGCTCTCAGCTCTTGTGGAGCTAACATTCTAATCCTTAGAGATATTCAATCACTCAATCAATAAACAAACAAACAAGAAATATACTAGATAGCAACTGGTACTGTGTAGAGTATTAGAATGGGGAGTTCATTTACATGAAGTGGCCTGGGAAGGCTACTTTGGGGAGGTGACGTATAAGCTTGATAGAATTCGGCAGGGAGAGGGAGTGACAGGAATTCAGGATAAGTCCTAGATTTAGGGTTTAACTTGGTACACTCAAAGTGTGGTCCGAGGACGTGTGGCAATCTGCAAACTATCACCCATCCACCTTGGCATAAGCACAGAAACGGAGAGTAACCATTAAGAAATTTTTATAGCAATTTGACAGAAAAAATTTATGCCTATTGAATACAATAATTCTGCATGCCTCCTAAATTTCATTTTGCTACTCATTCACTTTTATTTCACTTTACAAAACTACACATTGGAAAAATTTTAAAACCTGGTTTTCACCAAAGATAGTGCAAGAAACACTGGCTTAACTACTTAACCAAGTGGGTGAATAGTGGCACCATTTTCTGAGATGGGGAAGAGCAGGGTAGGAGCATCTCTGGGAGACAGAAATCAAGTGTGTGTTGTTTGGATCATGCTAAGTTTGAGGTGCCCATTGGGTGCCCAAGCCATGATATAGAATCAGTCACTGGGTATATGACTTGCATGATGTACAGTAGGTCATCGGGTATATGAGTTTTGTGGAAAGATCAGGCTTGAAGATATGTATTTGGAGTCATCAGCATACAGAAGGTATCTGAAGCTGTAGGTTGGGTTGAAACCACTTACCTAGGACTAGGAGCTAGCAAAGGAGACTGATAAGCAGCAACTAAAGAAAGAGAAGGAAAACCAATATGGTATCATGAAAGCAAACAGAAGAAAATGTTTCAAAAAGGAGAAAGTAGCCATCCTTGTCTAATGCTGCTGAGATATCAGGTAAGGTAAGAACAGATAAGTGACAACTGGATTTGGCAAATTTGGAGACCCTGACAATAGTAATCTCAGTGGGACAGTGAGAACACAAGCCTAATTGGAGTCCATTAGTGAAAGAGTGGGTGACAAGCAAATGATCCCGTAACAATACAAAAATATTTCAACTAGTTTTGTTGTGGTGGGAGTAGAGAGATGCAATGAAGATGGATATGGAGTCGAGGGAGATTTATTCAAGACAGATTTCATCAAGTATGCAGATGGGAATGTCCAGTAGAGACAGGAAGCTGGTAATGCAGGCATGCATCAGAATGCAATTCAGAATAGTTTTGCCATATTACCAGATAGGAAGTTCTACATATTGAAATGGACATTAATAGTAGTAATGGAAATCACATTCCATCTTCATTTCTCTACAGGATGCTACTGGGGCTCCATACTCAAGGTGAGGAATCAGGATTCACTAAGGCAGTTTGGGATTATAGTAGAGACATTGGCATCTCCTTTAGTGCTCCATGGTGAGGAACTGGAAATGGAACATGCCTGGTTTATTGGGTTTCCATGATATATATTTACCATCTAAATCTAAAAAGTTCCATCCTCATATTATATTGATAGACACCTTCTTCTTCCTCACCCATAGAATTGAAATTGAAACATGTTTGCCATTTTGACAGGAGTACAAAATTTCAAGCTTTGAGCAGAGGCTGATGAATGAAATAGAGTTTCGCTTGGAACGTACCCCTGTTGATGAGTCAGATGATGAAGTCCAACATGACGAGATCCCCACGGGCAAGTGTATTGCTCCCATCTTTGACAAAAGACTCAAGCATTTCCGGGTTACAGAAGGCTCTCCAGTGACATTTACCTGCAAAATTGTTGGAATTCCTGTTCCAAAGGTAGGGGAAGATGACCAGCCAAATGGGCAACCAACCAACAACACAGAACTGTAGACAATGCCTTCAAGAAAGCCTTATCAGATTCTAGGGATGTGTCTACAGAGGGAATAAAAACCACTACCAGAAAAACGAACAAAGCCCAGATAATTTTACTAAAAAGAGACCGTCAGGGATAGGACCATTAAATAATCAGGCCCAAAATAAATCAGACTTATGGGTAAGTTAGAATTTTAATAAAAGTTTAAAATAGACTTCTTAGTCATAATCCTCCATTTTGGGCTATTGATTCTCTCAACCACCAAACTCACCAAATTGATATTCTTTCTCTTTAACACTTATTGAATACCCACAAAGTGCCTGTTGTTGCACAAAGTGAGCTATATTTGTATCATTACTAGTAGGTTGGTCTATGCTGAAAATGTCATATCGTTATCACTGGCTGCAGAAAAATCTTATGAGTCACCAGATTTTTTTGGCAGTCAGCTGAAAGAAGGATTTACACCCAGTATGGCTGTGGTAGGGGATCTCTCCACTCTACTTTCACAAACATTAGCATGGTGTTATCATGTATGGTTAGGTAACCAGGAAATGTGAACAGCTGCAGCCAGTACTTTAACCCCCCCTCTTTGAGAGATCTCCTTGACACATGCAGAACTCAACATGAAAAACCGATTTATTTAAATGTTCGCCAGATGAGAAATTTCGCAAGTGAATCCTGGCCTCCTTCCACATGGTATAATAAACCATACTATCCTTTCAAGTAGGGTGAGCTATTGTGGACCCTGAGATCTGTGGACTGCAGAAGACTTGAGCTTATAGATAGGATAATGGGAAAAAATTCAGGCTCCTGGTTTTCATTATTTTGCCTCTGAAAACATGTCCGGTCCTGGGAGTGACTTTTTAAGTAATTATGAAGTACAATAAAAAGAGTCAAAAGCTTTATCTCAATCCTAAATTATACGGAATTTTTGACTTAAGTATTATATATGTACAAGCATAGGAGCATGTTATACAGTCATTTTTTTAAAAAGATTTTATTTATTTATTTGACAGAGAGAGAGACAGCGAGAGAGGGAACACAAGCAGGGGGAGTGGGAGAGGGAGAAGCAGGCTTCCCGCTGAGCATGGAGCCCGATGCGGGGCTCAATCCCAGGACCCTGGGATCACGACCTGAGCTGAAGGCAGACGCTTGACCAACTGAGCCACCCAGGCATCCCTACAGTCATTTTTAAAATACTTTTTTTGAAGTGCTTTATAAGGGATGGGGCACTTGTAGAGATGGCAATCAGCCCTTGCTTCAACCTACTCCCTACTTCATTATCCTCAAAAGATGTGCAGAACAGTGTATGTTCTCCTTGATTATCTTTCATTGCAGGTTTACTGGTTCAAAGATGGGAAGCAGATTTCAAAGAGAAATGAGCACTGCAAAATGAGGCGAGAAGGAGATGGGACATGCTCTCTGCACATTGACTCCACCACCAGTGATGACGATGGCAACTACACTATCATGGCTGCCAACCCCCAGGTGGAGAAGCAGGGTTCTGCGCTGTGCTGCACTCTGAGGAAGGAGCACTTGATGTCATTGTGAATGAGACCTTGAGAAGTGCGAGTTGCTAAGGATTGCTGAGGAAAATGAATGAGAAGCACTGTGATTGTGTGTTAACTAGAGCGCAGTATCAGAGCTTAAAAGACCAGTTAGCCATTGATGGCTCACTCAAGCCTTGAGCGTTTGTCAAAGGACGTTAGTAGTATCTCTTCACTATGTCCCAGATGTATTAGGCTACATCTTATGTTTATCAACTCATTGACTCTCTTGAAGAGTCTGTAAATCATCCTATCAAAGAATGATTTGTTGTTTTTGTTCTTTAGAGAATAAGCAAATTACTCCAAAAAGGCTTGTAAACATTCCTCAAATCCATAATGTCCCTTTTTTTTTTTTTTTTTTGGTAAAAGTTGGAAAGCCATAATCTTTCACTTTTCTTTTCTGAATAAGATCAAGGATCAAGACTTAAAATTCCCCTAAAAGATACGGCAGAACAAATATCTTCAACTACTATTAGAATACAAAATATAGAACTATAATTTCTACTCTCACCCACTCTCCTTAATAAAATGTTAGTTTTGAGGATAAATCTCTATTAAGAAAAGTATAAAATACTTGGCCATAGTCTCTGCATGTGGCTGCACCAGAATTCAAATTTTTTTTTACATTTGTGCTCTGTTCATTTCTCAGCTCAAAGTGAAAGTCATCACAATATTCTTTAAATTCCCCCTAGAATATTAACAGTGATCTAAGGAGTCATATTTTATTGTTTTCATTCCCCACCCCCTCATAATATTTAGCCAAAAAGTTCAAAACTGTTCCAGTCCAGAAAAATTTACATAAATTGAAAAAAAATGGAGAATTCTCTTATTTTTAATTCATTTTTGTTTCTCAGGGGAGAATCAGCTGTTCTGGCCACTTGATGGTACAAAGTTTGCCCATTCGCAGTCGACTAACATCCGCTGGTCAGTCTCACAGGTAAAAACAGTAAGAATCTCCCTTCTCTAGCCACTCCCAAGCATCCACCTACCACACTAAGCATCAAAGTGTTGGGTATACACATTGTTCTTAAGGTGTAGTCTTGCACCTGCAGCATCAGCCTCCCTTGGGAGCTTGTTGCAAATGTGGAATCCCAAGCCCTACCCCAGACCTACTGAATCAGAAAGTACATTTTAATAAGATCCCTAGGTGACTCATAAGCACATTAACTTTGAGATGCACTGGTCTGTTGCACACTCTTAATGGCTCAAAATTTGTAACCCTCAGTAGTACCTGTGCAGATAATATATAAACCAGAGTCTTTGAATTAAATGACCATATTTTCCTTAATAAAACAGAAACTGCTAGTGCTTATATGTCTATAGATTGAATATTTTTGTTGTTGCTGTCCCCAGTATAACAATTGCCTCTAACATAGCAATTGGCTTTCTTCCTCTCTGATTTTACTAACCACTAAGAATTAAGAGCCTGGCTTCCCCTTGAGTCTTATGGTGCCACAAAGTCTTAGCAAAGCATTCCATAGTTGCTGACATGGATGAATTATATTTGACTTACCAAAGGAGCAAAAATAGTGACCCATGTTTCAGATACAGTATTTCATCACTGCTGCAACTATACCTTCTTCTTCATTTTTTTTTTCTTTAAGAACAGCTGTTACTGTTGGTCAGTCTTAACCAGTTTAAGTTCATGATCATCTTTAATGGTCTGCCATAATTTATAGCCAGGTTAAATTTTATTTCTCAGAGACACAGGGATTGCAGCTGCATTGTTCTGGGTAATAAACAGAACTTGTCTGTTGGCTCTCATTTGAGATTCGGCTTGAATACTCATTTATTTGTTTATTTTGAAACTTTTGAACAACTGGTCAAAGCCAAGGCAAGTAAGCTGGGCCACCTAACCCAGAATGACTTCAGAGAAAAAGAAGCTAAAGCCTGTTTATTTGATTAAAGATCTCATAAGATAATCCTACAGTGTATGAGATGCTTACCACCTTGCTTTTTACATATGCTTCACACCATTATTTATTATTTTATTATTTGTTTATAGTCCAGCAACCTCCTTCCCCACCCACCCCCCAAAATATCTGTTCTCTAGGCTCTATAGCCATGCCTAAATGCTTGCTGTTTTAGGTTTATAGATTGGTTTCTATGTTTAATGCCTGAACATGCTTGTTTTTATAGAGGAAGGTCCCGAGTACAAGAAAGAGACAAAGAGCCCCTACAGGAACGGTTTTTCCGACCACATTTCCTGCAGGCTTCTGGGGATATGGTAGCTCACGAGGGGCGCCTCTGTCGGCTGGACTGTAAGGTAGACTCTAATACTCATCCTTGGCTCCAGATCTGTTCACATTTTGCATTTGTTTGACTTATTTTTGTTTGTATTTATTTTATGTTTTGTTTAGAGAAAGGGGGGCTGGGGAAGGGAGAGAGATCACTTCTTTTCTCACAAGACTTCTTCAGAGCATTTATTAATACCAGACAAAAGAATTTGATGAAATTTTTAAGTCTTTATACCTTAATAAAATTACATTGGTGTTGTATCAAGTTAACTCTGCATTCGTAAAAGACAACCAAAGAAGTGATGTAATTCAGACATTTTCCATGTGGTGCGGAGTAAGTCTTTATTACTATGAAGCCAAAAGTGTGATTTTTGCTTCGTGGAAGTGAGTTTCTGGGATGTATAGACTTTGAAAAAATTACAGTCATGAAAAGATAGCTCCGAGGTGGTTTATGAAAACGGAAATTGGTTTCTCGTACTAATCAACATCCACCAGCTTTAGCTATTCTACTTCCTAATTCTTCAACCAGAAACTGTTCAGCTGAGCAGCGTGGATATCTCTCAGTATGAAGAGAAACTTAAGTCACCTCTTCTACTCCCGACAAAGATGCAGAATGTTATGGAAATTTTAGGTGCTAATTGGTAAAGGCTTGAGGTTAAACATTTATAGAGTCCACTTCTCTAGGTGGTTCTTGCTCTGCCAATGGCTGCCTAAATAATATTTGGGATTGATTGTTACTTCTTCCACCCTAAACCCTCAAATATACCCATTCCAGGTCCCATCCCTAGAGATTCTGACTTAATATAGTAAGTAGACATTGGGATTTTCAAATGCTCCCCACACGATTATAACACACAGCAAGATTTGGGAACTCTAATTTAATGTCTGCCCTTTCCTTGGTTGCCTCTTGCTTCTCAGGTATGTAAGCAACATATCATCTGTGAAACTCACTCAGCAGGTCTATTTTATCTATTCATTTTATTTTTATTTCTTACTTATTCTAATCTAAAATATAATCATCACCTGAATTGGGGTCAAAATACGATACAGTTTAAATTAATGCGGCCATTCATCCAGCCCCTCTTATCCTGATGCCCCTGCAGGGAGGTTTCTCTCCACCCCATGTTTTTTCTCACTATCTATTTGGTGCCAGACAAGGATGAAGAATTCAGCCACCAAATAAATCTGCCTGTCATCGGTCTGTCATTTGCCTCAGCTGTCCTGTTGTTTATTAGGTGAGTGGCTTACCGCCCCCAGAGCTGACGTGGCTGCTCAATGGCCAACCGGTGCTACCAGATGCCTCGCACAAGATGTTGGTCAGGGAGACTGGAGTCCACTCTCTGCTCATTGACCCACTCACTCAACGTGACGCGGGGACCTATACATGCGTTGCTACCAACAAAACCGGACAGAATTCCTTTAGTCTGGAGCTCACTGTAGTAGGTAAGGTTTGCTTCTGGGACCCCAAGAATAACTCCCTTTATTTTTATTTTTATTTTTTTTAAAGATTTATTTATTTGACACAGAGAGAGAGACAGCTAGAGAGGAAACACAAGCGGGGGAGTGGAAGAGGGAGAAGCAGGCTCCTGGCTGAGCAGGGAGCCCGATGCGGGGCTCGATCCCAGGACCCTGAGATCATGACCTGAGCCGAAGGCAGACGCTTAACGACTGAGCCACCCAGGCGCCCCAGAATAACTCCCTTTAAAGTTATTGCCCAAATAGGCACAGCTTCTGACAGAATTCTTTAGTCATTTGCCCCACCAAGTTTCATCTCAGTTTCTCCTTCACTGTAGTAAAGGCCATATTGCTTACATTGTTTTCAAAGACCTATCAATAAAAACATAATGTAGTATCTGGTGCATATATGCATGCAATAAATGGGAGCCATTGTAATAGTTAATTAATCAATTAATTGGTATATTGACTTCACTAAATTCAAGTCACTTGCCCTACAGTTCATCACAACTGGAACACACCAGGATCTTGCCCCTACCCCAAGCTTCCACGCTTTTGCTTCACTGATCCTTCTACCTGGAATGCCCTTCTTTGCCCTCATTCTCTAAGGCTTAATTCAAATGTCACCACCAAGGCACATCCTCCTGTTTCATAGCACTTAGAAAAGGAGAGACTCCCCAGACCACTTGCAGCCTTCCGTGTAACTATTATCTCCTTTGTCTTCCTGAAGAGACTGAAAGCTTCTAAAGTCAGCCATTCTGACTTTTTCTGTGTATCTCCAGTGTCTGACTCAGTGCCTGGAACATGCACGGTGCTCAACAAATGTTGAGTTGATAACTAAACAAATGAACCTCTACTTTGTAAGATGACATGAACAAAACACTGTAATGGCTACAAAAAAGGACAAGTCATTATCACTTGATTGATACCCGCCCTCGGGCCAGGAGTCCAGCCAGAATTAGATTTCAGAATATACGAATTCTAGTGCTGAGCTTTCTCCCATGTGTGACCCTTACCGGAAACCAGGGGGGCTTTGGCATGCTATCCTCTCTATAGGCTGGTGGCTGCTCACCCCATATATCTTTTTCTTTTTCTCACTCTTAATTTTCTCATACCCAACAGAATAGGAAAAGCTCATCCTGCAAGGATATATTGATTGCAAACTTTTACTTTTCCCCCCAATATTTTGCAAATATTGATTCTGGAATCCTGAAATATGAGGTATCTTTGCCTTATCTGGTTCTGGCCCTCCCCGCAAAAAGTCTTCCTTAGGAAGCATAATTTGTGGGGGGGGGTGTTTTTTTTAAGTCGTGTCCTTCTGGGGCACCTGGCTGGCTCAGAGGACAGTGTGACTCTTGATCTCAGGGTCATGAGTTCGAGCCCCACATCGGGTGTAGAGATTACTTGAATAAATAAAACTAAAAAAAAAAAAAAGTAGTGTACTTCTTTTCTGTAGCTATAAACTTCTTTGAAATAAAAGTTGAGGGAAGGGCACCCGGGTGGCTCAGTTGGTTAAGCGACTGCCTTTGGCTCAGATCATGATCCTGGAGTCCCTGGATCGAGTCCCGCATTGGGCTCCCTGCTTGGCACGGAGTCTGCTTCTCCCTCTGACCCTACCCACTCTTGTGCTCTCTCTGTCACTCTCTTTCTCTCAAATAAATAAATTAATTAAATTAAATAAAAATCTTTTAAAAAATAAAATAAAAGTTAAGAGAAAATGAATATACCTTCTACAAAATGAACTCCTCTATAAAAGAAAAAGGGTACGTTCAGTACATAAAATCTGTTGTTTCTCAAAATTTACTGCTGGGAATAAAAGAGACTCTTTTAAGGAGTGAGTTATTCCACACCCACCATTCGAGTCCCCCCGTGTGCGACCCAGATCCTGGAGTGTCGTCTCTCACACAATATGCAAAGAGGTTCCCTCATTCCTTTTTTTCATCACTTCTGGAGCTTTTATCAAAGCAATGATCTTCCCTTAGAGGTGTGAGAAGTGCTCTGAAGAGGAGGTGAGGTGGGTGGGCACCCACTCTGCTAAATTCCAGAACTGTAATGAGTTGGAAGCATGAACCCCAAGGCGCTTACAATTCAAACAAGAATGGCCCTTCTCCCATTCAGCCAAAGAGGTGAAGAAAGCCCCTGTGATTCTGGAGAAACTGCAGAACAGCGGAGTTCCTGAAGGCCACCCAGTGAGGCTGGAGTGCCGGGTGATAGGCATGCCGCCTCCCGTGTTCTACTGGAAGAAGGACAATGAGACCATCCCTTCCACCCGAGAGAGGATCAGGTACGGTCCGCTCCCATGTCCACTCCCATGTTCAAAGGGACTTCCAAGCTCAGTGGGACTTGCTGGGCACCCAAATAAGTCTGTCGTCTTTTGAATCTGGCTTCTTTCACTCAGCATGGTGCATTTGAGTGTCATCCATGTTATTGTGCGTATCAAGAATTTATTCCTTTTTGCTCCTGAAGGGCAATCCATGCTATGGATGTCCCACAGTTTTAAAATGTTAATTTTTTTCAGAATTAATTAGCAGGGTTGTTTTTTTTTTTTATTTTAAACTCAGTTTTGTTAACATACAGTGTTATATTAGTTTCAGGTGTACAATATAGTGATTCAAAAATTCTATACATTACTCAGTGCTCATTACTGTTACATGTACTCTTAACCCCCTTCACCTGTTTCACCCATCGCCCCCCCTCCCCCACCAACCTCCTCCTGGTAACCATCAATTTGTTCTCTATGGTTAAGAGTCTGTTTTGGGGGTTGTCTCTTTTTTTCCTTTGTTAGTTTTTTCTTAAATTCTACATATGAGTGAAATCATATGATATTTGTCTTTTTCTGACTGACTTACTTCATTTAGCATTATACTTTCTAGATCCATCGGTATTGTTGCAAATGGTAAGATTTCATTCTTTTTATGGCTGAGTAATATTCCTCTGTGTGTGTACACACACATGCACATATATATCTTCTTTATCCATTCATCTGTCGATGGACACTTGGGTTGCTTCCATGTCATGGCTAGTATAAATAATGCTGCAATAAACATGAGGGTGCATATATCTTTTCGGATTAGTATTTTTGTTTTCTTTGCATAAAAACCCAGTAGTGGAATTAACTGGATCATATGGTGACTCTATTTTTAATTTTTTAAGGAGCATCCATACTGTTTTCCACAGTGGCCACACTAGTTTGCATTCCCACCAAGAGTGCATGAGGGCTCCTTTTTCTCCACATTCTTGTCGACACTTGTTGTTTCTTGTGTTGATTTTAGCCATTCTGATAAGTGTGAGGTGATATCTCATTGTGGTTTTGCTTTGCATTTCCCTGATGATGAGGGATGCTGAGCATCTTTTCATATGTCTGTTGGCCATCTGTATGTCTTCTTTGGAGAAATGTCTGCTCATGTCTTCTGCTCATTTTTAAATTGAATTATTTGGTTTTTGTGTGTTGAGTTATATTAAGTTCTTTATATATTTTGGATACTAACCTTTTATCCAATATGCCATATTCAAATATCTTCTCCCATTCAGTAGGTTGTCTTTTAGTTTTGTTGATGATTTCCTGTGTTGTACAGAAACTTTTTTTTTAAAGATTTTATTTATTCATTTCAGACACAGAGATACAGAGAGAGAGAGCATGAGCAGGGGGAAAGGCAGAGGGAGAGGGAGAAGCAGGCCCCCCCCGAGCCAGGAGCCTGATGTGGGGCTCGATCCCAGGACCCTGTGACCATGACCTGAGCCGAAGGCAGATGCTTAACCATCTAAGCCACCCAGGCACCCTGTGCAGAAACTTTTTATTTTGATATAGTCTTAATAGTTTATTTTTGCTTTTGTTTCCCTTGCCTCAGGAGATATATCTAGAAAAACGTTGCTACAGCTGAAGTCAGAGAAGTTACTGTCTGCTCTCTTCTAGGATTTTTATGGTTTCAGGTCTCACTTTTAGGTCCTTAATCCATTTTGAGTTTATTTTCCTGTATGGTGTAAGAAAGTGGTCCAGTTTCATTCTTTTGCATGTAGCTGTCCAGTTTTCCTAACACCATTTGTTGAAGAGACTGTCTTTTCCCCATTGCATATTCTTGCCTCCTCTGTGAAAGATTAATTACCATACAGTTGTGGGTTTATTTCTGGGCTCTCTATTCTGTTCCATTGATCTATTGGTCTATTTTTGTGCCACCATCATACTGTTTTGATTACAACAGCTTTGTAGTATAACTTTTAATCTGGGATTGTGATACCTCCAGTTTTGCTCTTCTTTTTTTTTTAAGATTTTATTTATTTATTTGACAGAGAAAGACACAGCGAGAGAGGGAACACAAGCAGGGGGAGTGGGAGAGAAGCAGGCTTCCCACTGAGCAGGGAGTCCGATGTGGGGCTCGATCCCAGGACCCTGGGAACATGACCTGAACCAAAGGCAGATGCTTAACGACTGAGCCACCCAAGGGCACCTTGCCTTTCTTTTCAAGATTGCTTCAGCTATTTGGGGTCTTTTGTGGTTCCATACAAATTTTAGGATCATTTGTTCTAGTTCAGTGAAAAATGCTATTGGTATTTTGATAGGGATTGCATTAAATCTGTAGATTGCTTTGGGTAGTATGGACATTTTAACAATATTGGTTCTTCTAACCCATGAGCATGGAATATTTTTCCATTCGTTTGTGTCATCTTCAATTTCTTTCATCATTGTTTTATCAATTTCTTTCATCAGTGTATTATAGTTTTCAGAGTACAGATCTTTCATCTCCTTAAGCTTATTCCTAGGTATTTTATTATTTTTGGTGCAACTGTAAATCAGATTGTTTTCTTAATTTCTCTTTCTGCTGCTTCATTATTAGTATATAGAAATGCAATGAGGGGGGGCGTGCCTGGCTGGCTCAGTCAGTGGAGCATGCAACTTTTGATCCTGGGGTTGTGAGTTCAAGCCCCACATTGGGCATAGAACTGACTTTAAAAACTGTTAAAAAAAAGAAAGAAAGAAAGAAAGAAAGAAAGAAAGAAAGAAAGAAAGAGAAAAGAAAAGAAAAGAAAGAAAGAAATGCAACAGATTTCTGTACATTGATTTTGAATCCTGCAACCTAACCAACTTCATTTATCAGTTCTAGTAGTCTCTAGGGCTTTCTATGTATAGTATCATGTCATCTGCAAATAGTGAAAATTTTACTTCTTCCTTACCAATCTGGATGCCTTTTATTCCTTTTTCTTGTCTGATTGCTGTGGCTAGGACTTCCAGCACTATGCTGAATAAAAGTGGTGAGAGTGGACATCTTTGTCCTATTCCTAACCTTAGGGGAAAAGCTTTCAGTTTTACACCATTGAGTATGATGTCTGCTGTGGGTTTTTCACATAAGGCCTTTATTATGTTGAGGTATAGTCTCTCTAAACCTACTTTGTTAAGAGTTTTTATCATGAATGAATGTTTACTTTGTAAAATGCTTTTTCTGCATCTATTGAAATGATAATATGGTTTTTGACCTTTCTCTTGTTTATGTGATATATCACGTTGATTGGTTTATGAATATTGAACTACCTTTGCAACCCAGGAATAAATCCCACTTGATCATAGTGAATTTTTTTAATGTATTGTTGGATTCAGCTTGTTAATATTTTGTTGAGGATTTTTGCATCTGTGTTCATTAGAGATATTGGCCTGCAGTTTTCTCTCTTTCTTTCTCTCTTTCTTTCTTTCTCTTGTAATGTTTTTATCTGGTTTTGGTATCAGGGTAATGCTGACCTCATAGAATGAATTTGGAAGCCTTCCTTCCTCTTCTATTTTTTAGAATAGTTTGAGAAAAATAGGTATTGCCTCTTCTTTAGATGTTTGGTAGAATTCACCTGTGAAGCCATTTGGTCCTGGACTTTTGTTTGTTGGGAGTTTTTTAATTACTGATTCAATTTCATTGCTGGCAATCGGTCTGTTCAAATTTTCCATTTCTTCCTGATTCAGTATTGGGAGGTTATATGTTTCTAGGAATTTATCCATTTCTTCTAAGTTGTCCAATGTTGGCATGTAATTTTTTATAATATTCCCTTATAATCCTTTGTATTTCTGTGGTGTTGGTTGTTATTTCTCCTCTTTCATTTCTGATTTTGTTAAAACTTTAATTTTTAAATTTAAAAATGTATCAGGAATTTGTGAATTGTGAAGATCCTGCATATTGTCACATATCTTCAGTCATATTAGTACCCAGGAAACCCCTTTGACAGTAAAAAGCTAACATAAAATAAAGCAGAACAAAATATTAAGGCAGTAACTCCTTTTCTATCCATCACGACATGGTTATTTTTAAAGTAACTAAGAGGGGCACCTGGGTGGCTCAGTCGTTAAGCGTCTGCCTTCAGCTCGGGTCATGATCCCATGATCCCATGATCCCATGATCGCGCCCCGCAGCGAGCCCCGCATCAAGCTCCCTGCTCAGTGGGAAGCCTGCTTCTCCCTCTCCCACTCCCCCTGCTTGTGTTCCCTCTCTCGCAGTCTCTCTCAGTCAAATAAATAAATAAAATCTTTAAAAAAATAAAAAAAATAAAGTAACTAAGAATCCAGTTTCCAAAAGTGGGTACCTTGCTAGATTTCCTCTCATCAACCTTACCTTTGCCATTTCCGTTGTATGCCACAAGGGGGCAAGCAACTTGTGTACAAAAGTTTCTACTGAGAATTATTTCTTCACAGTAAACTGAATTTGTCCCAGAGGATGTTGTAGCTGTCAAACTTTACAGAATTTTGGCATCTAAGAAGCCTACGTATATATATATAGGTCAAGATTTTTCTCTGGTAAAACTTAAAGCAAGCACAGAAAATATTCTTGAGTTAATGCTTCAGGCTAAATTAATATAACATGTTGGGGTGCCTGGCTGGCTCAGTCAGTACAGCATGCCACTCTTGATCTTGGGGTCATGATTTCAAGCCCCATGTTGGGCATAAAGTTTATTTAAAATAATAATAATAATTAACATAACATGTTAAACCCAGCCTGAAGTTCTAGTGTAATTATCCAAGATTGCAATGTGCAGCCAAGGGTGAGAACTAATGATGTGGAGGAAACAGAAGGAATTTTCTCCTGAACTGTATTTAACTAAATGCTGCACATGCCCAATTGGTTACGTTAAGAAATAACCCCTCCATGCTAACTATACATCAACATGACTCTCATCTTCTTCTACTTTCTTATAGCTTCCTAACAAAGTGCTCGTTGAAATGTCCAATCTGGTTTGCAAGAGAGATTTTTCTGGATTTTGGTTGTGACAAGTGGGGGCCCCTCTGGTGGGGAGTACAACTCCAAGAGAGGTGAAGCAGTGGGGAGGGCAAGAACGGGTCTCAGCCTAGGCTGTCAACCCTCATCTGGGCCTCAATGGGTTAACTCCTGCTCTTTTGTGACTGCTTTCCACTGTTCAGTTTGCCTTTGATAATTGCTTTAAGCCGATTCCACAGCACTGCTGGATTTGCTGCAAGAGTTTCCCTGAGCCCTGAACTGCTCAAGGCCTTTTCTGCCCCCAGGTACAATGCAGATGTGTTTTCTTTTTTCTCCAGTATGCACCAGGACACAACAGGGTATGTCTGCCTCCTCATTCAGCCAGCCAAGAAATCCGACGCTGGATGGTACACGTTGTCAGCTAAGAATGAAGCCGGCATCGTGTCGTGCACCGCGAGGTTGGATATATACGGTAGGTGTAATGTCCTCAGCTAAACATCTGTGTGTGATAGGTAGCTGAAAACAATTTTTTTAAGGATAGGTGTAGTGTGTTTCCATAACTGAATTGGTTGGATTATATTTTAGTGCTTAAGCGATGGATTTTAAAAATCATTTCATCCTAGTCACCTCAGGGCTTTTGTACACTTTTGCATTTTACTATGAGTTTAAGCTTCTTCAAAAAAATGTCCTATATGGGCGCCTGGGTGGCTCAGTTGGTTGAGCGACTGCCTCCGGCTCAGGTCATGATCCTGGAGTGCCGGGATCGAGTCCCATATCAGGCTCCCTGCTCAGCAGGGAGTCTGCTTCTCCCTCTGACCCTCCTCCCTCTCATGCTCTCTGTCTCTCATTCTCTCTCTCGCAAATAAATAAAATCTTTAAAAAAAAAAAATGTCCTATAATGTTAGGAATTACAGCTCTTTCAGAGTTTAACTGTGTTTATGCTTCTGATCATCCAACATCTCATGCTGTCTCCTTAATACCATGGGCCACCCACTGGAATTCCCTCCTCACTGCCTGTCATTCCCCCCAGACATACCTCCACCCAGCAGAATTTTCCTGCCCCCATTCATCTGTTAATTCATTTCACAAATATTTATTGTGCCAATCCCACAACCAGACTAATAATAGAGAGCTGTCCTAATATCAAATGATGTTTGTATAATGACTTGTAATTTACAAAATGGTACCCTTAGACCCCCCCAAACAATTATTGTAATTGTTGTCACCCTCATCTAAATGCTGAAGAAACTGAGACTCAGGGAGGTTAAGTATCTATAGCCAGGATGCAAATAGGTTTTTGTATCATTCCTTTGAGCCGTATTTCTAATTTTCAAAAGAATTTAACAAGTTAGGGGTGCCTGGGTGGCTCAGTCATTAAACGTCTGCCTTTGGCTCAGGTCATGATCAGGTCAGGACCCTGGGATCGAGCCCTGCGTCGGGCTCCTGGTTCTGCAGGGAAGCCTGCTTCTCCCTCCCCCACTCCCCCTGCTTGTGTTCCCTCTCTCGCTGTCTCCCTCTCTGTCAAATAAATAAATAAATAAAATCTTTAAAAAAAAGAATTTAACAAGTCAATCTTTATTAATGTAATGTAATGTATCCTGCTCCTCTCCTCTATACTTTTTACATTAACTGGTATTTTTGGAGATATATTCCTTAATCCAAAAGGGTGATTCTTTTTTTTTCCTCTTCTTTAAAAGATTTTTTAAAAAATAATTTAATAATTAATAAATTTCTTACTCATTACTGGTTCAACATGATTAACCAGAATAACAGCTAAGAGTCACTGTGTCTAGAACCTGAGGTCCCTGCTATTCATAGGTGCATACTAGATATACCCCTAAGGATACCATACAGGAGGGGCCTTGGCCTTCCATTTTTCCCTAGGTCTAATATTTGGAGGAAATACATAGGTTTCTGATGATTTTCCTTTATCCTTGGACTTGAAAAGAAATTCAACTGTGAGGGACGCTGACTCTAATGTACTTTTCCCTGGTGAGGGAGCGGGGAGAGAGAGGCCATCGATATATTTAACCTAGTCTATGTCCCCTGTTCATTTCATCCACTTTCCCATGTCAGAGGGAAATAGTTCTCCAGCTAAGAAACTCAGTACCAACAAGCCCCGAAACTGGTAAGTCTTGTCCCAATCCTGCTCTCCACTTCCCAGTTCAGTTTTCCCGGCTCACCTCTCCCAGGCTCCTGTCTTGATTGAGCAGCACCAACAATAGGGGGTGCTGTTTCCTCGACTGGGACTGGGAGTGGAGGAGGGAATGGAGGACTTGGGCTAAAATCAATCCCCTACCCCCTCAGCACCATCACCACTACCATTTCCTGCCTGTCCAAGGAACCGGGACAGCAGATGGGCTCCCCTCTCTCATCCAAAGTAGGGCTTCTGATAGAAGCAATTACAGCAGTCTGGTTAAGGGGTCTGGAGCAGAGACTTGACTATTCAGTGGCCTCACTGAGTGCCTGCTCTTCAGTGGAATCACTATAAGTTTTGTCCTCACTTTTGTAGCTTTCAAAACTTGATTTTATCAATTCATTCAGAGGTATTTAGACTCTAAAAAAACTGATTCAAAATAATGAAATCAACAAAGGTCCAGTTTGTAAATGAGAATGCTAAATAGGTCCATAGCTTTCTAGGATCCAGAGCATCCATGTTCCCCAACTGGTGCTCCCCCTTCTCCACACCAAGTCCCTAGAAACCTAATCAGAAGACTGCTTGGTAATTTCTGAATCAGACACAACAGCAAGACAAAGCAGTTTGGATGGATATTTCATTCAGGCATGTTCAAGTCTAAGGATCATCTCTGCTAAAAACAAGGTCTCCTTTAGACAATGCTTGCTGAACATGGAAATTCTAATACATTCTCTTTTGTCCCTGAACCATGGTTCATTGCACATAAGTTATGTTTCAGTCTTCTTGCTACAACGCATTAGAACCTGATTAGGGTGGTGGGTAGGTAGTGGCTGATTAGTGAGTAGGGTGTGAAATAGGTACTTCTGGACCCATCTTTTGGCTTCCATTACCTCAGGTTTCTTGTCTCTACCTTCTGAGGTATACCTGCCCTTGAGAGCCTGCAGCTCTTTCTACACTGCCACTGGGAGACTCCATGCTAGGTCAGTGAGAGGGAACATAAGAGGAGATATTTTGACGAATCACCCTATACAGCTACTCTTTTTTTTATTTTAAGATTTTTTATTTATTTGAGAGTGAGCGAGAGAGAGAGCACAACAGGGGAAGCAGCGGGCAGAGGGAGAAGCAGACTCCCCGCCGAGCAGGGAGCCCGATGCGGGACTCAATCCCAGGACCCTGGGATCATGACCTGAGCCGAAGGCAGAGGCTTAACCGACTGAGCCACCCAGGCATCCCACTACAGCTACTCTTATAGTCCCAGATCGTGGGTTTTGGAATTAGGAGCATAAGAGCTCGCCAGCCCAGTTTGCCTATTCCTGGCAGGAGAGGAGAGATTTCATTGTTCTTTAGCAAATGACGCATTTCAGACCCAGATATATTTCACAGAAAGTGTTTGAATGAGGACAGAATATACCCCTGCCTTGTACCCACTTGACTGCATTCCTTTGATTGTAACATGTTATTTGGTCCATTTTCCAGCTCAGTGGCACCAGCAGATCCCACCGCCCATGTCCATCCGGCCCAGTGGCAGTCGCTACGGATCTCTCACCAGTAAAGGACTTGACATTTTCTCTGCCTTTTCCTCCATGGAAAGCACAATGGTGTATTCATGCTCTTCTCGGAGTGTAGTGGAGAGTGATGAACTTTAGGAATGTCTGGGTGCCTGCTGTGTAAGGGGGCAGACTGTGGAGGGGAAGGAGGACAAGCCAGACATAGTGGTTTCCAAGCAACTGGATTTGAGTAAGTTCCCATGCTGCTGGACCCGTGGCAAGAAGTGCTTTGAATAAGTCAGCTGGGGACTCTTGCAGTCTCAGCTGGGGGAAAGATGTAGGGCTGTGCCTTTTAAAGATTCCAACAAAAATGTGAGAAGACGATACAGATGAACCAAAGATGTCATGAAGTCATCCACTGCTTTGGGAAAAAGCTAGCATGATCCCTGCCCCCTGCTATGTTAGGGATATTTAGGCCCTACTAGGAGCAATGAGGGGCCATATGCTTGGGCTGAAAGGAGTTAGACAGTAGTGACCTTAGGTATCACTAACTCACCAAACAATGCAAAGGAAAAAGGCGGGAGGTCTCCATCGCCTTTCATCAATTACATCCATAGCAGTAGTTTTGATGGATTCATTTAATCAGCTTCTACTTAAGCTTAAGAGATCGTGCCATACAACTCACAGATGTGGAGAAGCACTTTTGATTTACTTATCCTGAGTGTACTGAGCCACATTATAAGGTGCCAACATGTGCTTGAGATACAAAAAATTCACTGAAACACTCAACATTGCACAGTGCACTAGTTCTATAGCCAAACAAGGCCCCATTAACCTGTCTGCACCATTTTCTTTTGGATATCATGGTGAGTGGTTTTTCTTTCTGACTTTATACATCCCGAAATTCTAGAACTAAAAGGCTGTTAGTAAACCAACCAAAAAGAAATCTTCTGTGGGGTCACTTTTAAAACTACTAGCTTCAATTGCCACTTGCAAAATATGCAAGAGTCGTCATCATCTGCCCCTCCCCACTCCCCAAAAGTCTGGAAGTGTATGAGGCAGTGAGGGAGGAAGAGATGCAAACAAGGAGAGGAAGTGATGGGCGAGTGTTGTTTTCACTTGCCCTAGAAGAGCAGTGGGTGTGGAAGGAGACGTCTTGTTTTTCAGATAATTAATTTGCATTTTCTATATAGAAAACATCATGCTAACCAGGAAAGTAGGAGGAAAGGGGAATGTGCATCTTTGTTCTAACCCACCTATTCAAAACCTGCCTCTTAACTTAAGGAATTTCTAGACGTAAGTTGACTGCGATTATCCCCAGCGCCTAGAAGAGTGCTTAGCACCGCATAGACATTCAATAGATATTTGTTGGATGAATGAATCTTACATTAGATAGGGAAATCTGCAATTCACACAGCACTCCAAAAATTGCCTTGGGAATGGTCATCACAGCACAGCTTGCTCCAGACTCACCTGTGAAATGAATTGGAGGTGTCTGTTACCAATTCCCCACGTGTCTGGTGTTCTCTGAGCCAGGCACCCTCAACTGGCATCTTACTCCAGTGAACAAATAGTTGTTGTTTAGAAAGGCTTGAAATTTTCTTCACTTCAAGGCAAGGATTTCCAGTACAAAAATAAATTCATTCACTCAAAAAAAAAAAATCATTTGTGTGTCTACTCTGTATAAGATGCTATGCTAGAGACTTATGAATAAGACACAGTCCCTGACCTCAGGGAGCTTACAATCTAGTAGGGGAGGTAAGATGTAAGGCGTAAAGAGTGCTGCTTTTGGGGTGGGGGGAATCTATTCTTTATCAAATAGAAGTTTCTCGTACTTTTCATCCTAAGTTTTTATGACTCCAAAATCATCTTAATATTTTCAATCTTTATTTCTTAATGAAACAAAATGCCGTAGGTTACATCATTAAGAAATGAAGGTTTCAGTCAGTTATGCAGTGAAATTATTTGATTTGGTTTCCTTTTTTCATGTATTCAGGAACAATACCAAAAATACAGGCAACTGTAATGAAATAGTATACGTTTCATGCACGATGTGTCCTCTAAAATGTTCTGTTGCCATGGTGGCTTCTATTATGAAATCTCTTCTAGCCAAAGAGAATTTTCTAACTCCAGGATTGTTCCTTCTTGGTCGTTCACCTGACCTACCCATCACATCTATTTCTGTAAACCCTAAATAGTCCTCCCGTGGAAGGATATTTTTCACCTCCATATGTCTTAGCTTTCTGGATACTTTTTAATCTGTTGCCTCCTAGTGTTCACCGGAGAATTCGGATAAATATTATATTTGACCACTGGATGGCGCTGTCTAACTTAAAATATAAGAAACCTAAACATACTGGATCATGTCAATGCAGGCTTTCTGAACCTCAGCATCGTTGGCATTTTGGGGTGGATACTTCTTCATTGCAGGGGACTGTCCTGTGCAGTGTAGGATGTTTGGTAGCATCACTGGCCTCTAACTAGATGCCAGGACTATTAGTGGCCCATCCCCAGGTTGTGGCCACCCAAAACGTCTCCAGACAGTGTCATATGCTTCCTAGGAGGCAGAATCCTCCACTGTTGAACGAATCAGTGCCCTGCTTTAAGAATTCCATTAGAAATCAATTATAATGAGGGATACTTACATAAGAAATTTTGGTTCTGCTGGATATGTTTGGACTCAACATGTCCAAAATCAGATTCATCATCTTCCCTTTCATAAACCATTCTTCAGCCTTGCTTAATGATTTCTATTAATGGCACCATCACATTCCTAGCAATCCAAATAAAAAGCATCCAAGTCATTTTTTGCTTCCTCTAGCGAATCAATCAACAGATCCCATTAATTTTATTATTTCTTTTACATTCAGCCCTTCCTTTCCATCCCCCTGCAGTTCTCCAGTTCAGACTTGCATTACTTTATTAATTCCCCTCAATATTTCTGACTTCAACCATAATAAAGGACTTCTAAGTGGCCTTTCTGCCTCTGTTCCTGCCATTTCTCCCACCCAAATCCAGCCCAGATCTCAGTGTCAGCTCTTTCTTCCTGAAGTACTGCTCCATGTCTACTATTCCCCAATTTCAAACCCCCAGTGGCTCCCCGGAGCCAAATCAGGTACCCACTCTTCTGCTCTGTGGTAGTCAAGGCTCACTCCAATGTGATGCCAAAGCTTTTCAACCCATTCCTCAGAAAACACACCCAATACGGCAACAAACCTAACACAGGCCCCTGGTTCCAGCTACATACTTTTCTGCTGCCTCTGCTTGGAAGGCTCTCTCCCCAACCTCCACCTATGGCAATCTTATCTGTTCCTTAAAGCCCATCTGAAATGCCTCTGCCTCTGCGAACTATTTTCTGATCCCCCAGACCCCACCCAAATACAATTCTACTTTCTTTGAAAACTTACGGCAAGTTTCTTAAATCTGGAAGAAAAAAAAGATGACCTTGTATAGTATTTTATATAAAACATAGCCTCTGTACACCTGCCTGTCCCCTCCCCTTGCACTAGCCAGTCTTGCCCACACTAGGTTTTAGCTACTGTTGGTATGGACTGTGTCAAAAGTTTGTCATGTACCTTATACAGAGCAGGCATTCAATAAATAGTCATTGACCTAAACTGAACTTTAAATGTTTATGTAAGTCGATATGTTTCTATATAAAGTGAATTGAGTCTAGAGCAGTAGTTCTTAACCTGGGCTGCATATCAGAATCTCCTAGAGAGCTTTTAAAAATCTTGATACCCAGGCCACAACCCCAAATCAGTTAAGTCATAAGCTCCGGAATTGTGGCATAAGCAGCAGTATTTTTTAAAGCTTCCCGAGTGATTCCAAAGAGCAGCTGAGATTAAGAAGAATAATTTCAGAACTTACCCATAAAGGTCCAAAGGGATGCAGATGGCATAAAGCTGTAGTTTTGGCACTTCGTGAAGAATATACTCCCCCCCCCTTGTGGTACATGCAGTGCATGCCTAGAAAGTAGAAATAAACACACACTTTGGCCTTATTAGACCCTACTATTTTGTGCAACACTCATTAGACATGTAGCATTCATGAAGCCCCCAGAGGAAGCTCAAAAACCTGCAAAAATGGACGAGGGAAAGAGGGGAAGTTGATGCAATTTGTCTGACCCTTTGTTTCTAAAAGCCATACAAGTCCCATAAGCACTCTTCTCTCCAAACAACTTGAAGGGCTTTTCATAATTTGATTAGTCATGGAAATGGGGATCAAAGGGGAAAATGGAGAAAGGAAATGCACCATTTAAATGAAATTGCCTTTTTGAAACATAGCACCCTTCGCTAAAGGAAGGTTTTAATCAGAATTGCCAAATAGTGGAACTGGTTTCAATGCATCGTTCTCTTTTTATTCCTAACTTAACTTTTGTAAGCATCCAATGAGAAATCACATAGTTGAGAGACTAGCCATAGATAGAGCCAGAACTCTGAAGGAAACATACCATGGGGAATAATTCCCAGAGGAGTCAAAAGCTGACTTTTATAGGGACAGATTAACTTGGATAATCCTCAAATGACAAATGGGTTGCTTTCCAGATGTTCACTTATAAATTGGTTGTTTAAAACTCCAAATATATTTCCTTACACATACAACACACAAAGCTAGATTTCCTAAGTGAACTCAGTAAAGCCCATTTAATTGGGTCTACTTGTTGTAATTGTACTTTACTAATTGACTGAGTTACAATATCCATTACACCTGATTGGGTTATGGTCCCAAGAACAGGATCCAGGCAAAGCAGCCAATAAGAGGAAAAGAGAGACTACTTCCTCCTTTTTTGTATCTATGATGTGTCAAAGCTAAAGCGTGTCTAAGGTCCTTTGCATCTATCCCCCATTCTGTGTTTTCCTCCCCAGATACCTTGTGCTCCATGTTCTATAATCCCCCTCTGTGGTAACCCGTCCCATCTCAGCCTGTCAGCATGCTTCATGCTCCAAAATGACCTAACTCCAGTTCCAGGCATCTGGGCCCGATGGTCAGAAGAAAGCAGTCCAACTGAATGAAGTCTGAATGCCTGAGAGTCTTTTAACTTCACAGAGGGGCTGCATTTTTTTTAAAGCAGTTGCCTTCTTACTCCCATCAACTTCTAATTGACAGAATTGTTGACAAAGTAAAAAAAAAAAAAAAAAAAATCAGCTTGGGAGGAGAGGTCTAGAAAACTAACTGGGTCAGACATCCAAATTCTTGTTGATCACAGCCTCCTTCTGTCCTCTTCCTCCCCACAAACTCCCAAAGTACCTTCCAAGCTGAGATCCTGGCCTGAGTCTGTTTATATCTGGGCTATTTATGAATTGGTTGTAAACTCAAAGGCAAAGTTCCTAATAATGACCTTTATTCAAGGTCCCTTCCACGGTCCTTGGGTAACCTGGCCTCAAAGCATTTCTGCTGATGGTTGAGTAGAAAATCAATGTGCTTTACCAGTAAGATGAACAATTACTTAGATTACAATAAGCTTACTGAAGTCCTTTTCATCACTAATTGCCTTTTCTTGTTTTATGTGGATCAATATTTCAGAAAGTTAATTACTGAAACACTGCTTGAAGAATGCCAAGCATCTTCAACTTTGACAATGCAGTGGTCATCAGTATGCTAAAAATCGTTGCTAATACCATGTTTTTAAAAATCTTTGTAGTGCAAAAAAATGCATATTTTTTGAAAATATGTTTGCCTCTTATTTCTAATTATATTAGTTAGCATACTTGGAATTATAGAATGATAAACAGGCTGCCTTTTGTTAATCTGTAAATAATGGCCACCTCAAACTCCGAAAAGCAATAGCCCTGAAATTGCAAGAAATAGAGAAAGAACACACTTTTCAATCCTCTGAGAATTGTGCCAAAAATGCTGAAAGCATAAAGAGAATGGTGTACTGTAGAGGCATATAAATACTAATTTACTAGAAGATTTTAACATATGAGTGAATAGAAAATGTCTCCCTAGGAATAGAAATTAAAAGATTCCAACACTATTTGACAATAAATATTTCAAGGCTGAAATAAATGTATATTTTTCTTTAAAATGAAGAAAACAGTTCTAGTTTCCAGGTTTAAACTTTTTGATGAAGATACAACCAATTTTTTAATGTAAAAATATATTTGACACTTGGAAGTGATTTTTAAACATTATTCTTATTCAAATTGTATAAATTACAACATGAATTATAATCTGGTTAAATATCAACAGAACAACAGAAAGATAACTAGGTTTTAATCTTCCTAAAATATCCAGCAAATCCAGTAGACTTCTTATAAAATGTTCTTTAACTCTCTAAGATAAAAATTCATTCTGGGGACGCCTGGGTGGCTCAGTCGGTTAAGCGGCTACCTTCAGCTCAGGTCATGATCCCAGGGTCCTGGGATCGAGTCCTGCATCGGCTCCTTGCTCAGCAGGGAGCCTGCATCTCCCTCTGCTTGCAGCTCCCCCTGCTTGTGCTCTCGCTCACCTCTCTCACCTACGCTCTCTCTCTCTAGCAAATAAATAAATAAAATCTTTAAAAAAAAAATTCATTCTGCCTCCTTACTGAAAACAGAGACACATTTAAAAATGCAACTTAAAGATGGGAAAGATAGGGGTAGAGAGGCTTGACCAGTTTAGATTGGAAATTAATGGAGATACAATAAAGAGGTGTTTTGGGGCA